TGTTGTCCCTTTAGAAGGGAAATTATCTTAAGGAAAGGATATAAAATGTCAATTTTGTTAATCCAGGCTTGTTTCTATTTTAGCTGTAAAATCACAGAAAAATATAGGTTGCAAGGGACTTCTGGAGGTCATTTGTTCCCTACTTGTATTGCTGAAGTTTCAGCATCATGAGAACACACAAAAAAGGTTTCTTTTGTGAGATAGAGCATATTTTTAAATGAAGTTTGTTACTATTATTTCTTTTAAAAGTAAGCTGGGTGTTGATTGATGTTGACTGTCAGCAGGCAGTACTGTAATATTTAGGCATGTCTTGATTTTTAATTTCATTGTTTCTCCAGTATTAGATATTCTCCAAACTCTGAAGGAGCAAGTGCACTTCCCTGGGAGCATTACAGGGCTATGTGAAGGAAATCATCAACAATTTTATCTGATAATTGTAATTCTTGCTCACCCTACCAAATCACATTTTACACTCAGGATTTTAAAGGCTGGGTTTAAGCTTTCTGCTATGAAAGGTAACATCTTGCTTGCAGTTGTAGATAAAAGAAGGGGAATAACCTTTCGATTCCAGACTCTACACTGTAATTCTGCTCTTCTCCACTGACAGAGCTTTTCTTCTCTCACAACAAACCCGCTGCTGTCTCAGCCTGTTTACAGTCTTAGGCTGGCACAATTGCCACTATAATGAGCTTACATGGGGAAAGTAGAAGTGAGAGGAAAGTCTCTAGACCTGTTTGGCCAATCTGTCCACTTTGCTTTCTCCTCGAGAGGAAGGTGAGCTGGTCTGAAATTTGTAAAGCTACGGAAATGTTTTCTTGGCTCTTCGAGTTCAGCTTGCTGCAGTTCAGGGGCTGTTTCACTCCTTTGGGACTGCTGTGGGCTCACTGAAGCAGAGTTCAGGTGGGTCATCGGGAATAACCAGGTTTATGTGGTGTTGAACATGGTTTTCTGGGTTCACTCCACTCTCTGTGGATGAACTTGGATCTTCCTGGCAGTATAGTGTTCACACTGAGGGCAAGGCATGCTGTTAACAGCAATCCACAGGGAAGCCAGTGTCAAGCGGTGTTTGTGTTCTTGGGTACATTATTTATACTCCAAACCTTATCCACAAAGGTCATCACTTGGATAGCACTTGTGAGTTCCTTGGGACTCAGTCTTCTGAGAAGCTCTCGGCTTTCAGCTCACTGTGAGCCTCTGTAAGTGCTGGATCATACTGGGGCAACTTCATAGGTTTTAAGTTCTGAATGAGTAACTGCTTGAGAGAGGTTCCATGCCAAGAACATTTCCATTTAAAAGGAGAAAAAAAATCATTCTGGTATCTCAGTTATTCTGGACCAAAAAAAAAAAAAAGCAAATTTTACTAGAGGCAAAGTAGGTGTGTTTCTCAGAAACTAATCTGCATGGATTTTTTTAGCTGTGTTTTGTTGCTACTTGCTCTGAGTGTATGTATCTGGAAGGACAGAGGGTATAGGAGATTCCTGTACTAATTTGAGTAGTGCTGGGAGTATGGATCCTTCACAAAATATCAAATTCCCTATGGGGGCATGGTTGCCCTTAGAATTAGAGTGCATTTGTAAGGATGATAACATCCCTTTTTAAAAATGAGGGGGTTTGTAACTGGTTTAGATTAAAATGTTTTAAAAATCAGAGTCAAAGAGAACATTGAGCATCTTTTTACCATTTTGTTGAACTTTAGGCACAAAATGTCTAAGCTTGCCAAACTGTTCAGACAACAGGCCACTGTTAGAAGAATTCAAAACTCTTAAGAACTGATATTCTTTAATTAGTAGGCCTTCCAATTAAAAAATTCCTATATCATGGCAGCACAATTATTTGTCTCTGGGCTGGGGCTCTGGGTACTCCCCTGGAGTCTGTCAGCTGGACAGGAGCTGTGTTTGGCTCTGTTCTTGTCTGGGATGAGCAGGGTTCCTCTTGATAAGGCTGCTGTGTAAGAAATCAGCCAATTATCAGTTTGTTAATACTCCAACGGTATTTTTGAGGACAGGCCTGTATGTGAGAAGCCAACAGTGAAACTTGGGCATGGTGTTGCTTTGCTGTAGCTGTCATGTGAGCCCTTTTGGGTCGTATCTGTCCAAGGGGTGTCACCACAGGGGTTGATTGAGAAGCCCTGCTCTGTGTCCTTGCACAGGCAGGCATTGGCAGTGAACAGCACGTCAGACTGTGGTTGGGAGTTTTGTCTTCCTCTCTTTGTGACCTCTGGTACATTGCCTAAAAGCTCATATTTGTTTCCTAGTTAAACACTTCTCTACCAGAGAAATTAAAATTTTAATGTTGTTTCTGGAGATGCTCAAGGCTACACCGGACCCTGATCTCACCACATCTACTTTGATTAGATGATGTTGAGCAGACTCTCCCAAAGAAAATTATTCTATGATTCTGTCATCAGTGCAGGAATTAATAAATGACAACATTCTGTTTGGATTCTGCAGAAACAGAACTAATCTTTTATAACAAGCTCACGGCACTTTTCTAGGTGCAATTGCTGCTCATACTGTAGATTTTTCTGCTTTAAAACTGCAGGCTCAACTGATGCTTGCATGTCAACACCTGTTCCCATTATCTGTCCTTATTTGTGTCATTCCCTTCTGCCAAAGAGCTTGGATCCACTGCAAAATAATCCCCCTCCAGGGGCACTGAAGCCAAAAATCTATACAAATTCCTTGGCAGTTTTGAGCAAAGAGTGAGCAGCTTTCAGGCAGGGTAAGTTTGTGTATGTCTGTGACTCTGTTTGCTTTAAAATTTAGTTATCTGTGCAGATTCTCTCCCCTTCCTGTGTAAAGAATAGTAGACAATAATACCTACCCTCGTAAATAGACATTGTGTGCCATTCTTAGAAGCCGCAGTTGATGATTTCCTGAAAAAGCCCTTCTCTGAGCAGCCTGTTACAATGTGCTGCTTGAGCTAGGCTAGAGCTACGTGACAAAAAATAGCCAATGTGAAATTTGATCTATCTTTAGATAATGTGATTGATTTTTTTTTTTTTTTTTTGTGCTGAAACTGATCTTTCTAAGCTGGGTGAGGGGAACAGTCACGTGTGCTTTATTTATACTGGATTGTGCTTAAAAATTAAAATTGCTAAGTCATCTGAGATATGTATAAGTTCAGTTAATTCCTTCACAAGGAAATTGGGCAGAGGAAATGGGCCAGTGCATCTCCTGCCAGAAGCACAGGGAGTGAGAAGAAACACAAACACAGTGATTGAACTTTGAATTCTAATACATTTCACAGTGCTAAACTGTTCTAGTAAACTTGCATGCTCTAGTAATGCCTGGGGACATCTAATTTCTAAGTGTCTGAGTCATGCCACATAAATGCTTTGAGGTCGTAGATGATTGCTGCCTCATCTTCTGAAATTGTATTTTGTGAGAGAACTAGCATTTTATCCAGGAATAGACTTATTATATTTTGAGGAATGCTTCATATTCTTCCATTAGCAGGACACACAGCTGAAGTGCCCCATCCTTCTTTTATTGGTCTAAGGCCTCAGTCACCCTTCCATAGTGGATTTTGGGATAATGCTGTATCCCCTGTTTGCCCTTTTGTGGACTGGATTACTGCAACCCTGTCTACCTGAAGCTGCCACCAGCACCATTTGTGTGTCAGTAGGTCAAAAAATATCCCAGTGCTGAGCTCTGTCCCACCTAAGGAGGCTTTGTCCATGTCAGAGAGCCCTTGTATGCACTTCTGGCTCTGGAAGCAGGACCAGCTGCTGGTCAGGTTGTGTGACACAGTGAGGGACGTCAGACCTGTGTCCCCCAGGTCCTCTGCCATCTTCACAGCCAGTGGATCTTGCTGGGTCCTCACAGGAGTGCTGCAGACCTCAAATAAACAGCAGGACTTTGCTTCTAGAATTTTCTGCTGTTGTAACATGTCCTAGTAGCTTAAGCAAACTGCTCTGAGCAGATTTCTTGGTCTTTCTCATTAATGTGTGATTAATGGGGCTGTTACTTCCTTGTGCAGTCTGGCAATTGCCCATTTTCTGTGAAGGGATAAGTTTGGCATAGCAAATAAGTGTATTATTTTAGATAACAGTGTTGCCCACTGTTTGAGCACATACACAGGACTGTAAGGCCCTGCCACGTGCTGCTGCACACCAAACAATGCTCTTCCCTGCTCCAATACAGCTCCCTTTCTTATAAGTTATTTTGAAAGCTAAGGGGACTCTTCTGTTTAAACATCTAAAAGGGTGTGAACTTCCCCTTGTGAAAAATTAAAGACATGTAAAGACACCACATTTATCTTGGGTAGGACAATATTGATACAAAACTGTAGTGAGTTACTGCTGTCCTGAATATTCAGATCTGGATGATAAAGTATTCAGACATACAGTAAATTTCTTTTGAGTGATTTTGACCAGTCTCAATACTGATAAAACTTATCAGAAGCTTTGCAAAAGTTGCATTGGAAGGAGGAAGGATTGAAGGTACTTTGGGCAAGCAGAATGCAAAGGAACATCTTTAGACCCTTGCAGCAGTGCATTTCTTTCATGTTTGAATCATAATCCAATCATCATAATCCAATACAGATGCTGCTGTCTTTTGGGCAGTCAGATTTAATGTTTTGACTGTAGGAAGTTGTGACTAAAGCTGGTTTCCATCCCAGCAGAATTGATTTTGATATATTGGATGGCCCAAGACTTGTGATGGGAGTGAGATTGCAGCCTGTGGCTGTTGCTTTCAGCCTGGAGTCAAAAAGAGGGGATCTGTCTGCAGATACAGAGCACATGGCATTCTTTCCTTTTGAAAAGTTACCTCTACAACCAGCAGCTGGAAACAAGGTGCTGAAAATTACCAGGTCAGGGGGTTGGTTTGCTAGGGGCCAGTCCTGTGTGAGGGAGAGCAGACAAATGGCTTTCAAGAAATCCCAGGCTTGTGGCTGGGCAGGCTCCAGCCTCTCTTTTGCAGCAGCTTTTAATGATTAACTTAAATACTTTTGAAGTACCTTGAGAATTTAACCTCTGGTGTATGTTCTGTCTGCAGGTGGAGGAATCTGAGGCCTTTCTCCTCTGTCAGCGCTGCAGACCAGGGCGCCTCTGATTTCACATCTCGCTTCCGCCTGCCAAGCTGTCTGATATGTCGGGACCCGTGCCGAGCAGGGCCAGAGTTTACACGGATGTAAACACACACAGACCCCGGGAGTACTGGGACTATGAGTCTCACGTTGTTGAGTGGGGGTAAGTCTGGGCTGCTTCTGGATGTCCCTGCACCAGGATCAATCCCTGTGGATCCTGAGTAGTGGTACTTGGGGAGTTCAGGCAACTCTGCTGCGTGAGGCTTTTTCACGCTTCTTGGCAGATGGCAAGGGAAAGGATCACAACTTCTCTTCAGAAAAACGTTTCTTATCAAACTTTTAAATTCTCAGTTGTGGAAGAACATTTATGGCAGCTTCCTTAAAAGTTTGAAGAAGTTTTGCCAGGTAATCGAGAAACATCCCCTTTCAGAGGGAAGAAAATCTATTTCTGAAACAATCCAAACAGTCCTGAGTACAGGGCTGAAAAGAAATGAAAAGACTTTCAAACTGAAGTTGCTGCTGACTTGGATAAGTGAAGAAACTCCACAGACTTACGTAGGTACATACTATTTTATGACTTGTTGCTCAGCTCTCTGCAAGTGTCTGGAAAGACATGGCTGCTTCTCTTTGAAGGAAGGAGGTGTCTAAGTTGAGCTCATGACTAAAGTGTCCCAGAATCAGACAGCAGTGGTGGCAGCTTCATAGCTCTGAGTTCCTGCTGGGATATGGAGGGCCCAGACAGAGTTCTGCCCTCAGCTGTGCAGTTCCCATTTTCTGGAATGTACACAGTCATCTGAGGATAAGTGCTGCTTTGTGCCCAGACTGGTTTTAAACAGCCTTGCACTTAGATTTTTCCTTGTACTGGCTTTGTTGAATTTTACCAATATACAAGGAAAAATGGAGCTTCCAAATATATAGAGAAGGGATAGTTCGAGTTTGCTAATGCTGAAATACATAGTTGGGCTTTCAATCCATACTTTTGGCTTAAATATCTTGGGCAAATAGAAGCTCCCTGTTTCTCTTCTAGTTCTTAAATCATCCAGTTCAGGAGGCTGAAGGCACTATTTAATTCCTTTTGTCTGTGAAATGAGGCAGTGATGGAGTGTTAAGGAGCAGTTTATAAATTGTGATGGAAATGATGAGCCCTTTGGAACTCTAACCTTTTCTCTCCACAGAAATCAAGATGACTACCAGCTAGTTCGAAAATTAGGCCGAGGCAAATACAGTGAAGTATTTGAAGCCATCAACATTACAAATAATGAAAAAGTAGTTGTTAAAATTCTCAAGGTGAGCTGGGGATTGGGCAAAGATAAAATCTGTCTTGAGGTGATCAGAAGGCCAGACAGGGCTTTTTGATGTTCTAAAACTGAAATTCTTAAAGCCTGGCTTTGGAGTGTTACTCAGTGAAACAGAGCCTCCTGATATAAGCCCTGCACTTAAGTTAGATCTCTGCCTGTATGGAATTAGGCTCTGTCTTAAAGAAACCCTGATGTTCCACACCTTTTTACTTGGAGCTAAGCAAGATTTCAGCAGCTGGCTACAAAATTCTCAGCTTCTCTAAATGCTGGTGTCCTGGCAGGCTGTCATGGCCTTGATCTTCATTTAGTGACCCTCCAATAGCCCATGGACTTCTCATAGTTAAACATTTGCCACATGCCAGTTAAGAAGTCTTGGAGTATCACAGAACTATTCGGGTTGGAAAAGCACTCAAAGATCATCAAGTCCAGTCAACACCCCAGCATTTATGTCCTCAGCTGCCACATCTACATCTTTTAAATCTATTCAACAATGATGTCCTCACCACTGGAGCAGCCTGTTCCAGGGATTGACAACCCTTTCTGTGAGGAAACTTTTTCTTGGCATTACTTGAGGCCATTTCCTCTTGATCTATCAGATTATGTTCAGAGAGCTTTTTTAAATAATGCCATCTTCCTGCCTCTCTTCCACTTGGAATTATTGTCTGTAGCTGTTAGGCTTGTGTGGTTAGAAAGGAGACAGCAGATATGTGAGCCCTTATTGGTGTGATGCATACTCGGGTGAAATTGCAAAGGTTTCAGTATATTTTGCTGATCTGCAGTCACCGGGTGTTGTCATCTGGGTGTCGAGCTATTAGCCTCACTTTACTGCAGGGCTTTCTCTTACACTTTGGGTTTTTATTCTTCAGCCTGTTAAAAAGAAGAAAATCAAGCGTGAAATCAAGATCTTAGAGAACTTGCGAGGCGGTCCCAATATAATCACCCTTGCAGATATAGTAAAAGATCCTGTGGTGAGTAAGAGAGAAACTCAAGGGGGTTATGGGTGAAGTTGCTCTGTTTGATTTCAGCTCTGACCTGGCTTTTTGTTTCCCCTCCTCTTAAATCCTGCTTTTGAATTGACTGATCAGATCAGCTCTTAATCTGATAAACTTCTTTTAGAGGGCCCTTCCCCCACAGGTCCCTCCAGCCCCTCACTCTGTGAGGAAGAGATACCCGTGAGCTGAGACAAGTTAATTCGCTCTGCAAACAGTGCTGCTGGGGGCTGTGGGCTGAGGCTCTGCTCTCTCTGTCTGAGGGGAACCATAAATATGTCCAAGGCAGAGGGATTTATGCAGTTTTAGTAGAAAAAAAAGATGCAATTCATTATTCTAAGTGGAAACATAACTTAACGTGGCTGAATGCTTTTTTTTTCTGTTTCAGTCTCGAACACCCGCTCTGGTTTTTGAACATGTAAACAACACAGACTTTAAGGTACAGTGTGGGATGTGACTTCTTTTTTTGTGTTTGAAAACCACTCGTACTGTCTTTCTGGGGAAGGGATAGTACATAGGACAGGCATTTCCTTCCAGCATAGGAAATGCTTTTAAAGGTAAATGCAGGTGGGACAGAAGTTTGTAATTAGTACATCAGTACCATTTTGCCACAAAAGTAACAAGATGAGAATGCAGATTCCAAGAGGTATTTAACCTTAGGAGCAGATGAATCTGTTATCTTGTGGCCCATCAGTTCCTGTCTTTTTGAGGCATTTGGCTTTTATGTATACAGCTATTTATTGGAACCACTTTAAATGTGGACAGCTGTTTCTGTGGCCTTCCATACTCCTGGGAATGGGGATTTAAATATTTCTTTGTCCCTTCATACTGACCTGCCTCAGAAGAAGAAAGGCTGTGCATTGCCATCCATCATGCTTGTGCAGGGTGGGTACAACCAGAGGGAGATAGTGACAGGAACCAGGATGTGCTATCTGAGCAGAGCTGGAAGTAAACTATGTATGGGATTTGCAAAGGGGGAGGAACAGACTGATCAGAGTCAGGTGTGGGATCAGAGTAACTTGAGAAACTTAGACTAAACCTTCAGATGGGTTGGGAGAATACCAGCAGCCCAGAACAGGGTTTTTTTGGATGTTGAACACTGACATGATGTGTTTGTGTCCCACAGCAATTATACCAGACATTAACAGATTATGATATTCGATTCTACATGTATGAGATTTTGAAGGTAAGTTGGTGTTTTGCTGTTTTGTTGGTTTATTTCTAATACTGTAGAGATGGTTCTCATGTCACTGATGATAGTGACATTATATCACTAAGGGAAGGAGAGAGTCAGTCCATAGAAGAATTGGGCAGAAAAATACCAAGTCAGTGTCTATTTTTCAGTGTTTTGGTACATTGAGATACCTTAAAATCCTAAATCAGGAGTACATGTAGCCTCTGAAAAAAGAAAACTGTGAGCTGTTACTGGTTGGGGTTTTGCTCAGGCATAATGTGAGTCAAATGTCTTCATCCATTCTTCTGAACTAAGTAATTTCTCCTTAGGAGAAAGAGGGCTTGTGTGATCATTTGTGCCTAGTAACTATGCTCTTAGAGATTCTGAAATTCCAATTTTTATGAGGAAGGACACAAAACTAAGTCAAGACACTTGTGTTGCTGGTACCCCCTTTTGAGAGGGGGCTCTTAGCAGCATTTTCTGTGATCAGTGAGTCTAGTCCAGGATCTAACACTGGACAGTCCTGTCATCTATTTAGTCTTGATATGTGTGGAAATACTTATGAATATGGTTAACTTGGCACATTCTTGTGACTGTAGCATCTGTTTCCTTTCACCTGCAGGCTCTAGATTACTGCCATAGCATGGGAATCATGCACAGAGATGTCAAACCTCACAATGTCATGATTGACCATGAGCACAGAAAGGTAGTGTGGGGTGGCTGGGGGGCAGGGAGGGGTCCTGCTTTTCTGTTGGCAAATTGGGATCCTTTTGGGTACTCCTGTGTAGCGGTACTAGCAGACCTCTGTGAGGGGGACTCTGTTCTCATGGTGTGGACAAACGTAAAATGAGAATATTGTGCTGCTTTTTGAGGTTTTGCTTGGTCACATGTAACCCACAGGCAGGGTTGTAAGGAGAGGTATTTTATTTAGACTGCTTGGTGATACGGGTTTGGGGAGAATATGTAACCAGACACTCTTAATAAAATTAATTGAAAATTGAAGACTTATAAATTAACTTCATACTAAGTTCACCAGTGTCATTCAGCCAGTGGTAAGCTGGAGCATCCCCTGAGCCTTTTTTCTTTGTTTTCTACCATTTTTAGCTTAGACTAATAGACTGGGGTTTGGCTGAATTCTATCACCCCGGCCAAGAGTACAATGTCAGAGTGGCTTCCAGATATTTCAAAGGACCTGAACTTCTTGTAGATTATCAGGTAAGAATTACCAGGACTTCTTACTGACTTTGATATGGAAAGTCAGTGCCATTTCAAGGTAATAAACCCAAAATTCATATGTCTAGAGAGTTGAAGCTAAAGACAGTCTGTTCCAAAATGTATGGCAGAGAGCAGTGGCCTTGTGAATGAAAGAAACAAATGAGTAGTCTCAGGACCTGAGGAAGAGCTGCAGAACTTCCATTATGGATCTTGGAATACAAATGTTAAATATTTTTTTAGCAAGGCTGTGTTTGCAGTAAGGTACAGGAATGAAACAAAGCCCCTGTGGGAACAGCAAGTACTGCATGAACTTCTAAATTAAGCTTTAAAAGCATCCCCTTATCTGATGGAAATCACAGTGTTCCTAGTGACTTTCAGACCATGCTGGTTCTGGAAAAAGGCACATCTTTACCTGTTCATGGACCCTGGGGAGTCCACACCTTTTGCTGTTTGTTGCAATGCTTCCTTTCCCAACACATTTCTCAGTGGTTTATAACATTGGAGTCTGCAGTGAAAATAGAAGAAAGCTCTGATCTTTAATATGCTGGCAGACAGGGACGGAATTAGGATACCTGCTGTCCTGCTAATTGCTGTATCCCAGTTTGAGTAACTGGAACACTGAGCTGAACAGTGGTTTAGGGATGAAGATAAATGAAGATAGTTCAGTTTGTTTCCAGCATGACATGGCTGTGTTCATACCACCTTGTTGGGGAGGGGGGAACCCTGTTAGTTTTGGAGGTCTGTTCTGCTTAATTCATTAGAAATTGAATTGTCCTTCTGGTTTTGTACAGATGTATGATTACAGTCTGGATATGTGGAGCTTGGGTTGCATGTTGGCTAGTATGATATTCCGAAAGGAGCCATTTTTCCATGGCCATGACAACTATGATCAGGTGAGAGCTGGTCATGTACAATGTCTGTTCTCTTAGCACCATGAAGGTTTCCTTCTTAGGCTTCTATCGAGTCTTCCGGAGAATTTTTAAGCCTTTCTCTAATGGCTTCTTAGCTCAGTTTGAAGCCACAGTCCTTTTCTCAAGTGTGCAAGATTATGTAACCAATTAAATAGCAATGGATTTATAGAGCTTTGTACTTAGGAGCGCCTCAGTAGGTGTCTGGGAAAAGCTGTAGAAATAGTTATATTAAGGCTGGTGTGTTCTAGTACATAGTTTGACTATTCCTAAGGTTATGTTATGGTGAAAGCCCCTGTAACTACTCACTCTCCCCCCAACTCTGTATAGAAACTGTGAATTTGGTACAGGTTTATACAGATTCTGAAATCTTTGATGTGTTGCCTTCAGGCCAAATTTTTTTATTTTTAAACCTTTATCACATGCTCAGCATGTGACTGCCATGCAAATATTCTGGAACAGGGACCTTCCATTCTCAAGCCTTTTTTCTGGAGCTCTCTGGGGTAGTGCTTCACCTTTCACATGCATGATCCAGAGTTTCTGCTTTTTTGACCAGTTATTCTTGCCTTCCCTTCTGTTGGTTTTGAATATTTTCATGCTACTAAGGAAGGCAGTGTTTCAAGGTCTCAGGTTTTAGAGATTTTAGGGTCTGTGGCTCCCTCCTGGCTGCCCTGGGGTACTGAGCTCCAGCTGTAAGTGGAGGCATGTTCCTGATGCCTGGGACTGTGTGGCTGGGGAAGCCAGAGCCACAGGCTGACCCTGTGGCTTCTGATTCATACTGCTGGGATCAGGTTCCAGCTCCCGTGGGAATGTGCTGCTGTATCTTCATGCAGGCTCTGGTATTATCATACCTTCACAGCAGTGACTTGTTTTTGTGTTTGTTCCCAGCTGGTGAGGATAGCCAAGGTTCTGGGGACAGAAGATCTGTATGACTACATTGACAAATACAACATTGAGCTGGATCCACGTTTCAATGACATTTTGGGCAGGTGAGCCAAGTTCTGGAGTCTCTCTGATAGACCCAGACAGTTACAGCTTTTTCAACAGACCTTGAAATGAACAAAAATTTGTGGGAGAAATCAGAGCCAGGATTCTGGAGAATTGACACTTTGTGCCTTTGGTCCCTTTTGTCAGTGCTTCCCGTAGTTCTTTATATGGAAATGGACCTGAGAAAAGATTTTTAAATGTCATTCAGGCAATAAAGGAACTACTGAAGCAGAAAGCATGAAGGGCAAATGCCCTGTTCAGTCTGGAGGGGAAAAAACAAAATGGTGTTTCTCAGCATTAGAGTGCAGAAAGTCAGGTGCTGCTAAAGATGAATTTATATGTTTTTTTTCCTCACAGTGGGACTAAAAGGAACTCATGTTGGGTGCATAAGAGATGACAGAACCTGCAATTTCAGGCCCGTAATCCATTCTGAGCGTTAGTCCTGCTGCTGTCTGGGGTCATGGCAGGGCCGTGCAGGGACTGAGGTGGCTGTGCTGGGGCTGTGGCTGCTGTGCCACCGCGTGGAGACACGGTGGCACTGCTTCCCGCTCTGGAATGCCTCAGTTCCATGGCCGCTGCACAGTGCAGTGGCCTCCTTCAGGGCTGGACATCTGTCACCGTTCTTGCTCCTTAAGAAATTGAGGTTTGGCATCACTGTCCCCTGCCTGGCCTGATTAGGGTCTGTTTTCCTGCAGACACTCCCGTAAGCGATGGGAGCGCTTTGTCCACAGTGAGAACCAACATCTGGTGAGTCCAGAAGCTCTGGATTTCTTAGACAAGCTGCTGCGATATGATCACCAGTCACGACTCACAGCGAGAGAAGCCATGGAACACCCCTACTTCTGTAAGTATCAGCTGCTGTCCTGAGAGTTCTGCCTCTGGGAAATCTCTGTTCCCATGCCTTGTGCAGATGGGAACTGGGAATGCCAACAATGATAAGCCTGGTCTGCAAATAATAGTGCAGGAGCTGAGGCTGCTGGTCTCTGTGTGCCACCTCCACCAGCCAAGGAATCAGTGTTGGGTGCCTGTGTTGGGCCCATGAATCAGCAAGTAATATCAAGGAAAGTCACCTAAATCACGTAATTTGGGGTTGCTTTCTGCAGGTGTGCATGGATTCCTCTGTTTGGATAAACCCAGAGAACTCTGGTTTGTTGATAAACAGGCGTTTTTACTCCTGTTGCTAAATTGCTTAGCTGCTGCTATATTCAGGACTTTATTTTGCAAGCAGAAATGTTACTTTCACTGTAAATGCTTTTAAATTGTTGCTGTTTTTCACAGATATTGATATCTAGGGGTTTGAAGCAGCTGCAACAATGCATAATGTCAATATTTGCTCAGGTGGTTTGGTTTTGCGGTTTTTTTTTAGCTGCTGCTGAAGGGACCCCTGTAATTAACAGACTGTTTTGATCTGTGTTACTCCTGTTGGAAAAATCCCAGGGAAATGTTACGCAAGTATGAGCATTAGAGAAGCCAGTATCCTGGAATGTGAGGGCTGGACAAACAGTTCATTAACTTGTGTCCACAAAAAGATATATGTTGTGCTGAGCTCGGCAAAGTTGGGAATTCCCTAGTCTGACACAGAAGGGCTGGGAGGCAGTAAGGGGTTGTCCCTGTTCAGGTGAGAGCCTTATTTACATGCAGCTGAAAATAAATAGTTGTGATCATCTCATGGAAGACAAGTTCTAGTGACACACCTGACAGCTCACAGAGATGTAAGATGTGTGTAGAGACATGACACATGATTATAATCAGTGATAATCTTCCTGCGTGCTACACCCATATTCTGGGTTTGGCTTTCTGCAATTACACAGTTGCTTAGCACAGAAAGATCAACTTTGCCATAGTGTCCTTTGTCTTTTCCTGTCAGACAGTCCTGCTGAACCCCACATGACATCATTTAGCTGATTTTCCCTGATACCCCGTGACCTTTGTACCTTCTTGAGTGCTTCCCACTGGAGTGGGTGGAAATGTCTGTATTTCAATAGATGATGGTTGATGTTATTTGACAGAGGCAGGGTGCCAGGACTGGCTGAGCACAGAGGCCACAGGCAGTCTGTGTGCCTCAGCAGCTCTCTGGCAACACAGCACTTACTGGTAGTGTGCTCTTCCTAGACCCCATTGTGAAAGACCAGGCTCGGATGGGCTCGTCCAACATGGCGGGTGGCAGCACTCCTGTCAGCAGTGCGAGCATGATGTCAGGTCAGTTCTGTCAACTCCCCTTGGTGCTGGGTGTGCTGAAGCACTTGAGTGTGTGGGGTGGGTGGGAGGACCTGGGAGGGAGAGTTCAGCGGGCAGGGCAGTGTTGGGTCATCTCCCAGGACTGGGGACAAGGGCAAGGAGAGCTGCAAAGTGGGTGGGAGGGTCTGATAACTAAGGCCTTGGGCAGCCTGGCCTGTTTTTCTGGTCTCATTTTAAGAAGTTCTTTGCAGTTGATTTTCTGGCAGCAGCTTAAAGGACAGTCCACTGGCACAGGCTGCCCAGAGAGGCTGTGGCTGTCAGATCCCTGGAATTGTTTAAGGGCCAGGTTGAACGGGGCTTGGGGCAACGTGGTTTAGTGGAAGGTGTCCCTGCCCATGGCAGGGGAGTTGGAACGAGAGGAGCTTTAGGGTTACCTTTTCAACCCAAACCATTCTGTGATCCTGCCACATCTCTGCCCATCAATGACATTAAGGGGTGTGCAAATCTGTGCCCTTCCCAGAACTACAGAGAACAGTGACAGATACTTTATCTATTTATTTATTTTGGCAGCTCTGAAAACATAACTGACCCACAAAGCTCCCACTTGACTTCAGAAGCTGTCCTGGATAGCAGTGCGCTGTTTTTACTCTAATTCCTGCTTACCTGTGTCTCTTCCAGGGATTTCTTCAGTGCCAACACCTTCACCCCTTGGACCTCTAGCAGGCTCACCCGTCATCTCTGCCACCACCACCCTGGGGATGCCGGTTCCAGCTGCTGCGGGCGCCCAGCAGTAGTGACGGGCTCTGTCTCCTGCTGCCTGAGCTGAGTCAGGTGGGGAAGAGGTTTCCCCCTCCACCTCTCCTCAGGACGCAGCTCATGCCTGGCAGGGGAAGGGAGGGGATGAACGCTTTGGAGACACCGTGTCTGAACTGTTGCTTGTGGATTTATAGTAGTTCAGTCATTATATACAAAATTATTATAGGCTGATTTTTCTTTTTTTACTTGAACTTTTCGTAACTCAGGGGATTCCCTGAAAATACCTACAGATGGAATACTTCTTGGACAGTTTTTCTTTCCCCCCCCACCCCTCCCCCCCCTCCAAAAAAAAAAAAAATCAAAACAACTCTTCATGTAATAACAAAGATGAATCAACAGCATTTCCAAGCTCTTGCATCCTGCTGGAAATCTCTTCTCTTCATGTTCCCATCATTATTCCTCCACAAGCCTTGGGGGATTGTGCTGTTCTCCAGAGACTACCAAACCAAGTCTTCATGAGGCAGGGGAGGGGATTCTTAAAGTACCACTCACTAGAACCCCATGTCCTGCATATGTCCCAGCCAGGGTACACTGAGGAGACAATTCCAGTAGGGAGAGGTGGGATAAGCTTAAAAGGAGTAAGTGCAGATAGTGTCCAAAACTAATTGGATTGGATGTCTCCTTAGGAGTCAACCAGAATGCTAACTCACCCCTTGCATGTAATTTTAGTCTTAAAAATGAAGTTACTGATCAAGTTGGAGTCCTTGGCACCTCCTGAGACAGGTGCTTCTAGAGTAAGCCCTGCTCTGATCAGCCCCTTTCTCGTGGAGGGTTCTTCCAGCCATTGCTTGGCTTGGATCTCTGGAATTAATTTGTTATTGGGTATATTGTTTTTAAATTGTTTCTATAGGTTTCGAGCTGGTGGCTACTTAAAGCTGGAAAAATCAGACTGCGCCAAGTCCGATCCCACATCTTCACCCACCATCCCCTCCCTCACGTGCCATGTGGTGAGAATACCAGTTACCTCACAGTCTTGTAAATATGCACTGAGAGGAAGGAGCCAGGAGACGTTAACTTAAACTGAAATGGTAGATCAGTAATTGTGGACAAATATTATCATTGACAACGGAAAAGCACCCTTGTTACAGCCCTGCTACCCCTTGCTGTGTATATATACTTTGTCCTTCATATGTGAAAGATCCAGTGTTGGAATTCTTTGGTGTAAATAAACATTTGGTTTTATTTATCGAGGTTAGATTTAAGTTCCCTGTGTAGAGGCCTCCCTGGGGTGGTCATACACTGACACAGGAGTGGTGACAGCCACATGTGCCCTGGGCAGGCCATGTCCCTGTCACACCCATGGGGAGCAGTGCAGAGAAGCCTTACACAGATGTCACAAAGCCAAAGTATCTCCTGGGAGAAGGATCTTTTGCCATAATAAAAAAATCCTCCTTTTCTGTCTCAGCCATGATGGTGGGGAATTGAGGTGATGAACCAATTATTAGTTGTTTGCCTGTTGCAACTCACTGGATTTCTGTGACTTGTTTTCAGTCACCTAATGCTAGGCTGGCTCAGCTGGTGTGGCTGCAGGCACAATGGCACCTGTCCCTCACAGTGCCCTCTCATCCCAAAGCCATTGCAGTTGTTCCTGTGGACATTGAGTGATCTTTGCCTTCCTCAGTGGGTGCTGATGCCTTGGCCTGCAGCTCCTGCTTGTCCAGGCACCCATCCCTCGTCTGTTCTCTGGAGAGGATGGACATGTGCTTCCACGTTGCTTAGTTAATTTTAGGATAGAGCAGGTGGGCTGGATTAAACTGATATATGGGACATGGAGATTGCCAGCAGGGAGATGAGGTTTTTCACATACACCAGGATAGCTTTCTCCTCCATGCCTTCATCCAGTGGAAATCCATTGTACTTAATCTTTTATATCCTAAAGTGATGTGAAAGTTGGACTGTGTTGACTGTTACCTCAATGTGCTGTACCGTAAAAGCACCCAGTATGACAAAATACAGCTTGTTTGCACTGGTTCTGAGCTATGCAGGACATTTTACCTAGTTCTTTCATTATTCCAAGCGAGGGAGGTTTGCATAAGGACAAGAATGGAAGAGGAAACCGGGAGTGGTGGATGGCCCCCGTGCACAAGGAAGCCCAGACCCCTGTGCACGGAAGGAGCTCTGTGGATGTGGCAAGCCCTCATAGACGGGCCGGGCACTTGTTCTCCCCCTGCGCTGTCTCCAAGCACTGACGGGGAGTTCGGAGAGTTTTTTTGAGTGGTGGCAGGAGCCACTGCGTGCAGCACCACCGAGGCTGTGCTACCCGGTCCCTCAGCGCTGGGAATGACCCGTCCGGCGGCCATCGGGGAGGGTTTGGGGCTTTGGTTTTTGCTGGTTTTAAACGGGCCCTGGCGGACAGAGCGCGTCCAGGCCGCGCGCCCCCGTCCGCGCATGCGCGGCTGCCACCGCCCGTGTGACCGCCTGGCGGCGCCGCGCCTGCGCACTGCGGCGCCGTGACGTCCCGCCCGCGCGCCGGCGGGCGGGGGGGCGGCGGGAGCGGGCGGGGGCGGGACGGGACAGAACGGCGCGGGGAGCGCGGAGCCCCGGCCCGGTCCGGTCCGGTGTCCGGAATGCGCCGCAGCGCCCGGGAACATGGGCCGGCAGAGCCCGCCGCGCAACGGCTTCGGCGGCCACGGTACGGGCTGGGCCGGGCCCGGCAGGCGGGGGGCAGTGGTTCGGCTGAGGGGGCGAGGGCTGGAGCGCCCCCTGCGGGCGCGGCGGCGCCCCCTGGCGGCGGGGCGGGGCCGGTGCTGCGCTCGGAGCCGCCCCGGCGGGAGCGGGCGGGGGATCCGGGGGTCCCGGGAACCGGGAGAGGGCTCCGGCCCGCCCCGCGTATGTGCGGCCGCCGCGGGATGGGCGCACAGGAAGCAGCCGGCTGCGGTTGATGCTGCCTGACCCGCGCCGGGCCCGAGGGCGGTCCCCGGTAGTCACCGAGGGCTTTGCGGCAGCGCCGGGCTGGCCGGACCTGGCGAGGCCGTGTGTCGGTGCCCGGAGCCTGCAGCGGTGCAGAAGCACCGACGGACTCAACTCGGTTTTAGACCGCTCTCACCTTGCGTTTGTGCCTCTTCTTCCTAGGGTGAACCCGCGAGTTAACGTCTTGTGGTTGCATAAAACATTTTTTAAAATGCATTGGTTTTGATAATACTCGCACCTATTATCCCCTGTGTGTTTGAAAAGTGCAAATATTGCGGTCTTTTTCAGTAAGTTTGAGAGGAGGAGCCCGAAAGACGTGCTGCTTCCTTCTCACTACTCCTTAAGTTCTTTGTGTGTGAACAGTTCTTTCTCCCCTAGGCTTTGTTTCCTCCTTCCCGAGGCATCGGTATGTGACGCCCCGTGTGTGCTGTGGCAGGGGATCAGGAACAGCTGGGGGTAGGGAACTGGCTGGGAATAGGGAACCGGCTGAGCAGAGCTGGCTTCTGTTGTGCAAATAACTCTGCCTGCACAGAGGCCGGAAAGGAAATAAAAGAAACTGTAGTCACTGTTTGAGCGATAGATTTAATGTTACCAGGATCTTGGAATTCGGAGGGAGGTGGAGCTTTGTCGTAGGCTGTTACAGTTTGTTTTGATCCACGAAGTATTTTAAAAGGGTCTTTGAGAAGGAACAGCATCCTCTGCTCGACCTACTTAGTGTCCATGTGTGTGAACAGCCTGCGGGCTCCCTTCAGACCTCGCTGAGAGCTGCACTTCCAGCCAGGAGCTCGCAGGAGCAGGGCCGGGGCAGTGGCTGAGGTGCCACGTGGACGGAGGAAGGAGCTCCCCTATCTCTGCCGGGAGGGCACAGCCTTGGGAAACAGCTGTTTCTCCACTGAAATCCTTTTAATTCCTCCCACCCCAAATCCTATTTGGACACGTCCCTTATAGAACGAGTCCTGTTTGGATCCCAAGAATTGTTGCGTCTATGGGAAAAGCCTTTAGGGAAAGGCAGTGTTTGTGGCCTCATCCTGCACTCCAGTCCTGCAGCTCCTCAGCAAAGCCTCCTTACTGGAAACTCCTCCAGTGTGGGATATCGAGTGGCTCTCGGCTGCTTCTCTCTTTCCTCACATGAGGCAGCGGTGACAAATTCCACCATGTGGTGTGAAGTAGTGTCCCTTCTCCGCTCCCTGGGAAGCGCCCTGGTGTCCTGTAAGTGTGTCTAACCCGAGCGCTGTGTGCTTTGTGTGTTACCCCCTTCCCTCCCTGCCCCGAGTCCCTGTGCTCCTCAAAACAGCGGGAATTATTTCCTACTGGCTGAGCTGTGTGTGTACTGATGGCTGGCAGGTTTGTGTTTGTTATAGGACAAGTCAATGTTCTTATGATTCTTTAACTCTGGTATAATTATGTCCTTTCTTGTGTCTGTTGCTGTCAGTGGAAATACTCAGGCTTCTTCCTAGGACGGCTGCACCTGGGAGTCGGTAGGAACACAGTTTTGGGAACGCTTTCCTAACCTTTCTTTGAACACTTTCCTAAGTCCTGGTCTTAGGAAACACTTGACATCTGAGCTGGCAGCTGCATCAGAGGGCAAAGAGTTTCAGGATGGCTTTGCAGGGCTGTCTTGTATGGAGCCATTGGGAAGGACAGGAGCCAAGGGCTCCATCTGGGCACTGCTGGTGGCTCTGGTGTCAGGAGGAGCAGTGTTTGACTCCTACAGTGGGACCCCCAGGATAGGGAAGTAGTGAAAATGCCCTTTGAGGTGCTCCCAATGCTGAGCCTGCAGAAATGGGACACTCAGCTGGAGGGGTACCCACAAGAGTCATCCCTGTCCTGACAGTGTGATGACTGTCCTGTGTCATCTCCTTGTGTGACATCGCTGTGAGTGGCTATTGCTAGCCCCCACTGTGTGCTAGCACTGCCTGTCAGCTCACATCTCTGTGACCTTTTGCAGACTTTGATGCTAAGAAGAAAAGAAAAGTGGCAGAGATTTACCAGGCTCTGAACAGTGACCCCATCGACGTGCCAAAGCTGAGGCGGATGGCGATCAGCAAGGGCGGGCTGCTCACAGACGAGATCCGCTGCAAAGTGTGGCCAAAGCTGCTCAGTGTTAATACAGACAACCTGCCCCCTCTTCCAGGTATGGAACAGCCTGGACTCAGCTGCTCAGGAGGAAAGGCTCAGTGACCTTTGTCCCTAGAGGAGGGATGTGCTTTCTGACCTGCCTTTTCCCTATGTGTGTTGCATTTCCCACTAAGCTCATGTACAAAGGGGACTTACTGCAGCACCAATACTGTGTTGTATGTAAACAATACATCACTTCTAAAAACAACATTTGTTGTTTTCTTTAGTGATAGTCATGGAATCAATTCATTGTGGATGCAGTCAGTGTAGCCCTGAGCATTAGCTGACATATGTAAGTTCACCTGCAGTAGAAAGAATCAGACTTGATTTGTTTTGCTCCCGTGAAGAGGTGGCTGTGCTGAGCCCTGGTGTGGCCAAAATTCTTCTGATGTGTCTCTTCCAGGCAGCAGTTTGTTGTGTGAAGCACACGTGTTTTTTTGGTCAGAACAGGCACGGGGACAACAACCTTCCTGGTGAAATACCCACATGGTTTTTAAACCTTAGCAATGCAGAAGCTGTAGGTCCTGTAGCTTTAAAGTCACCCAGGACAGATTTTGTTGCTGTTCCTGATTCTGTGGTTGTTTGGAAACGTGCATCCCCCCACCTCAGTCAAGAGCCGACTGGCATTAGGATGATGTGAGGTGACCAGAGCTGCTGGAAGACAATGTTTAACTTTACATGATCCCATAGAAGGAATTTGCTAGCTCACTGAACTTTCCTGTTTTAACTCTTAGCTAACCCTGGGTGAGATTTTCCTCTAAATTGTTTCTATTTTATAAATGAGTCTTTGTGGCCTTCATAGCATTCCTCCAGTGCTGCATTTGAATTGCACAGCAAAACTGTGTAGCAGAGATGTTTCTAGGAGTGCTGGGAGTGCTGCTGTCAGTTTAAGCATTTTAACATGTGTTGTCTAAAGAAATAATTGTCTCATTTGCTGCTAGTGTCAGAGTGTGTGGCAGTGAAAGTGCAGGGACAGGGCTGAGGTGTGACATGGAAAAGAGGATATACAGTGGAGTAGGGAGTGTGTGCAGCTTCATGTCCACATTCAGCAGGGACCTTCCCAGCTCCTCACCTCACTCTCTTCCCAGTACCATTGCACTGCTCCATGTTAATCCTGTTCCTCTTTTTCTCAGCAGGGAAGGAGTTGCGACAGGACAATAAGGATTACCAGCAAGTGTTACTGGATGTGCGGCGATCCCTGCGCCGCTTCCCACCGGGTGAGTGGGATTCTGCTCTTCCCACTCTGTGGGGGCAAGAGCAATGCCATGGGGCTCCTGCTGGCACAGACAACCCTGGGAGGCTGCAGAAGGTGGCATTCCATTATTACTCCAAGGGCCTGACTTCTAGAAAACCTTTTCCATGTGCAGCAGCTGCTTCTTGCAGTGAAGCCCTTCCGCAGCCATCAGTTTCCTTCAGCTGTCTCTGCACAGATGGTTTTTGACGTGGCTTCTCCAGCCACATCCCTTGCCCCACTGTGCCCTTCTGCCAGGAGGCTGCTACTGGCAGACAGTTGCAGCAGAGAGAGGATGGATCCTGCATAGATCTTGTGCACCATGACCTGTTGGGATTAGGACAGATGGAAAGCTTGAGAAACATGCCATTTGCTTTGGTTTATTTTAGTCCATGGTCTAGCTCAGGGGCAAGGAAGGCAGATTTGTCTGTGCTTAGAACAACCCCTGATATAAAACAGTCTCAAAATCAGGTTCAAATTTAACAGAACCTAAAATATGTAGAAGCAAAATGGTTTTGCAGTTGTTTAGTTCTGATGGGAGGCTGATGCCTTGTGTTATTTATAAAATGCTAAATCCAGCAGCTCTCTGTGTTGAGCAGTCGTTATTTCTGGCCAGAATCTGCCTCCCCCTTCTGCCACTTTTATTTTGTATAAACACTTTATTCACTCTGATTCTTGCAGGCATGGATGCTGTGTGCAGGCCTGATTCCTGGAGGCTCTGCTCCTATGGATTTTTTTGCCCTTGAATGGCAGCCTCCTGCCTATTTTTAGCTGCATTAGTGAAGCAGAGGAAAAGGAGAACTTTATCATTGCAGGATCTCCACTGGGACTCTCTGGTTGGCCTTTGGGTGTTTTATCTGTTGACAAGGGCTGCCAGTAACTGGCTGCAGCTGTGCAGGGCAGGAACAATGTTTTCCCTGTGACATCCTGTCCCTAAACACGTGTTCTTAGCAGGGGATTGATATAAAGTTGTGCTGGTGGAGGCCTCGCAGTCTAATGCAGTTGGCATAGTTTCTGTGAAAATGGGTCCTGTTGAATTTTTTCCTAGAGCCCCTGGGAAATTAAAAATTACTAAAACGTCCTCATCTGTGCTGGATGTGTAAAACAATTCTCTCTTCACAGCAGCACTGTGCAAACATCTGTAAACCCTGCTCCTGTCCTCCACAGTGGCTTCCTTGCAGATAAGGGTCCTGCAGATCTAAAGATTAAACCTCTCAGTAATTGGCCAGATTCCCCTGGTCCCGCAGAGTTTTGGGAGACAGCATTAGGGCTTTGGATAGTTTTTTCTGCCAGTTTTACTACCTGCCCCTTATACACCACATCCCTTGGGATCAGGCAGGTTAGTAAAAGCACAGGTGCTCTCCTTGCACACCACAGTCACCCTTGCTCCCACAGCAGGCTCTGGTAGGTGACACAGCTGTGCCATCTCTGCTGTTCCCACAGGGATGCCAGATGACCAGAGGGAAGGATTGCAGGAGGAGCTCATCGATATCATCCTTCACGTCCTCAAGCGCAACCCCCAGCTGCACTACTACCAGGGGTACCATGACATCGTTGTCACCTTCCTGCTGGTCGTGGGGGACAGGCTGGCCACAGCACTGGTGGAGAAGCTCTCAGTACATCATCTCAGGTACTCAGTGGGAGGAGAGGAGCCAGCTGCATGTCCTCAGGCTGTGGGGACACCTCTGCAGGTAGAGCTGGCCTGGAAGGGGACTTGGGAAGGCAGAGCCTTGGGTTAAAGCAGCTGCTGTCATGCCTGTACCCTGAGGGTGAATGAGAGCAGCCTGACCACACAACAGCATGTGGCTTTGTAGGGAGCTGTGCTCTGGGGAAGGGATAATTGAAGGTTGTCAGTTAATTTGTAGCATCTCTTGGAGTTGAAAAGCCAAGGCACATGCATTATCCATGGTTGTGTGGCTGTCAGGGCCTCTCCCTCACCTGGGGACTGGCTCAGCAGCTGCCTCCCTCTTGTCCTTTCATAGCCCTGGGCAGTGTGGTCTGTACTACCAGTGTCCTGTACCCCACTTAAAGAGTCTTTCCTGTTTGTGCACTGAAATAAGAGCAAGCTTCCAGCTGGAGAGTGTAGTTTAGAGGGATTATCTCTCCTCTCCCAGGCAGGAGTCAGATTCTGGGTACTGGAAAGGCTTTACGGTTCTTGTGTGCACTGCAGCAAAATAAGAAGTGTCAGCTGACAGCAGCATGATGGTCTGGGCCTGGGTTCTGTGGGCAGGTCAGCCCTGTGTGTCCCAGACAAGCTGGAAGGAGGCTGCTCCAAAGGGACAGAATTCCTTGGGGCTGGGGTTAAAGCAGCCCTGCCAGCAAGGGCTATTGCATGTACTTCACCTTCTGCTGCCTCCCTAGAGGGAGAGCTCGCTGACGTTGTTGCTTGACAAAGCTCCTTTTAAATCTTTCCTCAGGGATTTTATGTACCCAACAATGGATAATACCAAGCAGATTTTAAATTACCTGATGCTCATCATAGACCAGGTGAACCCTGAGGTGCACGACTTCATGAAGAGGTATGCAGATGTTCTCTTAGAGCCTCCTGGCTCTCCCCTGTCCATCTCAGGTTACTGTTCACAGGACCATTTTCACCAGCACATCCCCATCACCACAGTGGCTTCCTCAGGGAGTCAACAGCTGTCCCACAGCTGATGGTGACATCCCTGAAGCATGTGGCACTCATTTCTGATCAGGCTCAAACCTGTGCTGCCTATCTGGAGGGGTTTTACATGGTGCCATCTTCAGCCTGCAGTCTGTATTGGTAGGGCTGGGGATCTGGGGACAGTGTTCTACAAATGCTACAACTGCTTCCTGTGACCACTTGTGTGGCTGGTGGGCCTGTTAGTTCTGGGGATAATTCTGAGAGTGAAAATTTAACAGGGTAGAAATCCATTTGGATTTAGGCGAAATGTGCCGCTTTGAGCTTGCTAGCATAAGTAAAATATGCCTTAGTTTGATAACTGCAGCACTAGTAAAATTGCCCCAGCTGAGGAGAAAGATTGTGAATTTCCAAGCTGAAGAGATAAGAGAGACTCCTCAAACCTTGAAATAGACAGGGCAGAATGACCCAGAAGTTCTTTCCATACTTTCTGATAAAAAACTAGCTACAAGTGTAACGAGCTGTAAGTGTAACTTGAAATCAGCAGAATGAATATGCATTAACCTATTGTGAAATTCTCTTGAGAGCATTTCATCCCTGTTTCCAGGCTGACCTCATGGCTCTTTCTCTCTGTAGTGCGGAGGTGGGAACCATCTTTGCTCTCAGCTGGCTGATCACCTGGTTTGGCCACGTTTTATCTGACTTCCGGCACGTTGTGCGATTATATGACTTCTTCCTGGCTTGCCACCCACTGATGCCCATTTATTTTGCAGCTGTGGTAGGTATTGATGGAATGGTGAGGGATTAACTGCTCTGTTCTGAGGTGGTAGGAGTTTGAGGCTGCAGAGGGAGGTTGGCATACCCAGTGCTGGTGCTGTCCCCAGCTGTACCCTGCTCTGCAGATTCAGTCAGTGATGTCCTTGGTGATGATAAAGGGCAGGTGGGAAGTCAGGGCAGCCTGAGGGTGTCCAAATGTTCTGGCTGTACCAGTTCAGTGCTGTGGAGGCAGCATGACACAGTGTTTTTATTTCCTTTCGTGTGCTGGTCCTGCTTCTGGTCACATGCCTGGCTGGCTGAGGATAGCCCTGCACTCTGCACCCACCTGCCCATCCTTCGATAGCAGGAGGATGAAGCAAGCAGCAAGTCATGAAGTCAAATCCTGCTGAGGTTCTGCCCCCATCGCTGGCCTGCCAATAGCAGGTTCTTCTGAGCAGACAGACCTAAGTACCCTAAAAGAGGCTTCCCATGGCCTCAGAAGAGGTTTGGCATTTCTCTTTCCAGTGAATGCTTCACTGAAGTGTATCCTCTTGAAGAAGGTCTTTCAGCTGGAAGTAAAGTGTTTTTTTTCTTCTAGCTCTGAAACAAGTGCCATCATGTGCCAAGGAGTTGTCCCGACTTCCTTGTCTGTCCTCCTCTCACTCCTCTGCAGATTGTGCTGCACCGGAAGCAGGAAGTTCTGGACTGCGAGTGTGACATGGCCTCTGTCCACCACCTCCTGTGCCAGATCCCACAGGATCTTCCTTACGAGTCTCTGATCAGCAAAGCCGGGGAGATTTTTGTCCAGTTCCCACCTTCCAAACTCACCAAGGAGGCAGCTCAGGCGGAACGGTGAGTGTTGGGAGCCCATGTGTTCCCTGCATCCCCTTGCCAGGTCTTGCCTCCCTGTGGAGACCGTCCTGACAGGAGGCTGGTCCCAGGGGTGAGCAAGGGGCACTCCTTGACCTGTTCCATCTCTTGCAGAACTGCGGCTTCCACTTTTAAGGACTTTGAGTTGGCATCAGTGCAGCAGAGACCAGACACTGTGTTGAGGCAACGCTTCAGAGAGCGGATGCGAGGGGAGGAGCGGCTCCGAGGGGAGGAGCGGACAAAATCCATCTTGACAAAACCCCGGACCAACCGCTTTGTCAAGCTGGCAGTGATGGGGCTGACGGTGGCACTGGGAGCAGCTGCTCTGGCTATGGTGAAGAGTGCACTCGAGTGGGCACCCAAGTTTCAGCTGCAGATTTTCCCCTGAAGCTGGAGGAAGGGCCTTTGCTGTCACTGCATCCATCCCCAGCAGGAAAGGCTGATGGCTGATGAAGGACCTGCCCAGAAACAACCTGTCTGAAGATTATTTATTATTCTTACTGCGCCCAGTAACACTTTTGGCCTTTATGACAGAGACTGAGGGAACCCTTCCAGTAGGACGGTTCCCCACACCATGCTCACCTTGTTCCCCTCTCCCTGTGCAAGGGTGAGCAGACAGGTACTCCTGCTGTCTCCTGAGGAACCAGAGGTACGGACAAATTTGTCTGTTAAGGCTGTGCTCAGGTGACTATACAGAGGGAGAGCTGAGTGTGGGCTGTGCCCAAAGGATCCTGTGTTCTCCACTGGGGAAAACTAGTGGGAGTGAGAACAGATCTTCGCCTGGAGGAGTGTCCAGCAGGGTTTGTTCTGGGTGCTTGCATGTGTGAGGGTGGAGGGCATTGCACTTCTGAGGAACAGGGCAGACCTTTGGCTCTTCATTGCTCCAGTGTGCCCCACGATCTGCCTTCAGCTTTGCTGGTGCTCCAGCTCTTCCCTGTCCTGTGGACATCCTCTGAGCAGAGCCAAACCTTTCCCACACCCCAGTCAGCACAATGCTGTGAGCTTCTCTTCAGCGTGTAACATTCCCTGGCTCTTTTTGCTTCCACATCTTTGCAGCGTGATATGTTTGTAGAGGCCAGGAGCAGACCTTAGCTCCCCTCAGCTCTCGGGCACTGCCACTGCTGTGCTAGCAGTACTGTGACCATAAATGGGGTCAGTGAAGTGAACACAAGTATGGTCACCCTGCCAAAGGTGTGTACTGTCGTGTGCCAGGTTATGCTACCACAAGTCTTAGTGGCACTGTAAACATCCATTGCAGACTTCTTTAATAGCTCTGGAAGTGGACATTAATGTGCCCACATGGAGAAAGGCTTTTTCCACCTTGTGAAACACTTTGCACAGGGTAGAAGTTGTTGCACTAGAAATGTGACAAAACCCCGCTCCATGAGCTGATCAGGCTTCAGCATCACCTCTGCAAATAACACAAGGGGTTTCCCAAAAAGGCCACCCTGGCCCCTGCATAGCTTCCATCTCCCCACCAATTCCACTGGCAGTCCCAGCATCCCTGCCCTCCAAGCTAAGCAGCAAATCCTTATAGATAACTCAGTGTCCCACTGGGACAGAGCCAATAGACACTCTATACCTCTACCTCTCCCCCAAGCTGCTAAATCTCCCTCAAGTGTCCTTACCTGTCCCTCCCGCTGCCCCATCATTGCTCTCTTGTGCCCAAAGCCATCTGTGCCATGCCCAGGGTCTGCACACCTGAAAAGGAGGTGTTGGTTGAAGGCATTTTGGGCTAGAGAAGAAAACTCGTGCCCTGCAAAGCTCAGCACCCCCCACTCCTACCCTTCTTGGTCCATTACTGCCCTGGGTGTGTTCTGATTTGCCCCATGCCTTGCTCATAGAAGGGTTGTGCCTTTCTGGCCAGAGGGCAGGTGGGCAGTTTTCATTTCTGACTTGTGTTCCCATGAAGCTCTGAGCAGGTGTTCCCTTTGCCTCTGCAGGTGAAATGAGTGTGTGAAACTGCCCTTGTTCAGGCAGGCAGCAAGACCTGTTCCATCCTCTCCTCAGTGGTGCCGGTGGCCTTGGAGAGACTTGGGGCTGCTCAGGGGGCTCCTCCCAGTGTGGCTTTCAGAGCCCATTCCTGGTCCCTTGGCACCCCCAGAGCAGCAGAGCAGGACTGGGGGCTGGGTCACTTAGCACTTTAGAAACCATTGGTGCAGGAGAGTGTGGTGACCTGGGAGTGTTGCTGGAGGGGCCAGGACTGCTCTGTACACCACACTGGAGGAGGGGATGGCTGGAGCCCCCCAGGAGGAGCCCCTGCAGCCCCTCCATTCCCTGGCCATGATGCACTTTAGTTCTTGCGTTGTCCCTGGGGGGGAGAAGGGCCTGGGAGGAGACCAGGGTGCTTCAGTTACTCTGTACAAAGACTTATACACCCCCTGTAAATGCAGATTTCTACAAGCCCTAAAACTGTAAAATAAACAGTTACTAAACACACTTCCTACCCTCCACAGACCAGGGCTGCCAGATCTGCTCTTGTAGCACCCTGGGGCCCAGAACTGGCACCTTCTCTGCAGTGGCCAAGCCAGCTCAGTGTGGCCTCACACCCAGCAGCCCCGTGGGAAGAGGAGCAGAGCCAAAGGGTGTGTGCGTGCCCCGGTCACTGCTCTCCATCCATCTGCCTCCCTCTGGGCCAGCGCCAGGCCTTGTGTGTGCTGCTGGCTCTGGGGTGTCCCCCCATCAGCACACGGGGCTGGAAATAGCCTGAGCTCCCAGCCTGCCCTGTACCCCAGGCCGGGTGCCTGGCTGCAGGAGGAGATCCCGGGCACGATGCCCAATTCCCAGGGCATGCTCTGCTGAACTGGGGTGATGCAGGCGCCTTGGCCAGGCTGGAAGCGGTTTTGTCTGGATGGCTCAAGGCTGGCAGCCGTGTTGGATATTTTTAATTGCCTGTGGCTTCTCCAGGAGCCATTTTCTCAAGAGTGCTTGGAGCCCTTTGGGCAGCAAGGGGGAAGGAGGAGTGGTGGCAGGCGGTATGTGGCACCTTTGGGGTAGCCAAGGGGCCACTGCCACATGTAACTCAGACCCAGGCCAGTGGCAATGTGTGCGTGTGCCTGTGTGGCCCTGACCTGACCAAAGGGATGGGGGCAGAGGTGATGGCCATGAGCTCTGACTGTGGCTACCCCACGGTGCCCTGCGCGGAGAGGAATCCCATTGCCGGGGGCTGCAGTGACCCCGCACTGGAACATTGCAGTCCCTGTGGTACCGCCCAGGCCCCGGGCGGTGCTGGGGGCTGTCCCGTGGGTGCAGCCTGCAGATTTGGGGGGTCACCGTGGTATGGACACCCCCTGCAGTTCTCCCTCCCTCGGGGACAGCCCGGCCCCAGCAGCACCAGGGCAGCAGGAGGGGCTGGCAGTACCCGGGGATGCTCTGGGCTCCTCTTGTTGCCGTGGCAACAGCTGCGGTGAGACGGGGCGGGGGTCGGGGTGTGATGCGAGTGGCGTGTGACCCCTTGGCCCCCCCGGGCCCTCCTGTGGGTCTGGATTAGCACCCCCGGTTCCCTCCCTCTCTAGTGCCCCCCCTGATTTCCCTCTGTCCCCTCCCCCGGCTGAACGGAGTCGGGGGCGGTGCCGGGATTGCCCACACACGCACACGGGTGGGGCGAGGGGCTGCATGTGCACAGCACATACGTGCACATACACGCACATGCTCACACTGCTTCCAGGGACGCCCAGCCCACGCTGACTGATGAGGTGAACCTCCCCGCTGCAGGAGAGCCCATAGGAACCGGGGCTCAAGGTGGGGAGTTATATGCCTGGGAGCTGGATGCTGGTCATTGGGAATCCCACATCTCCCTGGGGACCTTACATTGCCCTGGGAACCCCAAATTCTCCTGGGAGGAGCGAGGCAGCACAGAAGGAGCCAGAGCCATGGGGAGCAGACCAACACACTTTATTCCATAATCACAACAGTCAGGATCATTGTTAGCCGAGGTTCTGCAGAGCAAGGGCCAGCTGTGTCACGCCCCCAAGATGGACCCAGATGGGGTCGTCACTGCCCCTCGGCTAAAATCCTGTTTCTCCAAGATAACAGACACAGGGACCCTTCACTAACACAACACTACAAAGGTGACCCCGAGCGCTGGCGCCCATCCACAGGCTGCGTCGGGGCCCCACCAGCTCCGGGGACCCCCGGCCCACTCGGCCGCCACCAGGGCAGCTGCTTCCTGAGAGAGGTTTGGTTTATTTTTATTATTTATTATTACTATTATTATTATTATTCGCTTTGTCTGGAGTGATGACGGGATGTCGCACGCGCACGCACACACGCTCGCACACGCATGCCAGCCAGCACCGGGCAGCGGGGGCGCAGCGGGAGGGGGCCGCACGCTGGGAGGGGTCTCTAAGCACTACAACCACACGCCACAGAAAATCCACCACTGTCCACGACGGTTCTCCCTGACAAACACACCCGGCGAGACTCGAGGAGGGGGACAGGGCTGAGGACGGGGACAAAGCGGATGATGTTGTGCTTGCAGCCAGGGCAGGAGACCCTGGCACTGGCTCCGGTTCTGGCACTGACCCAGAACCTGCTCCTGAGGAAATATTTCGCCTGACAGTCTGTGGAGGGATCACCCTGGCTCAAGGGTGATGCACAGCACGTAGGGGACCACTGGGACCCATGTGCCCCCCACAAGGAACGGAAGCTGAGCCCTGAGCTCCAGGGTCAGTGAAGCACACGTGTGATGCGAGACCCTCAGTGTGGCCTCAGGCCTTGCTGGTACCGGGGGGCTTTGGCTTCCCATGGACAGGGACAGAGGGCAGGTGACTGTCAGCCTCAGTGCCCTCTCTGAGAAGCCCTGGCCACAGCACGGGGTGGCTGTGCACCCCAAAAAGGCACCGAGGTGCTGGGTGAGATCTGTGTGTGTTAGAGGGCTCTGGGGCCGCCAGACCCCACGGGAACCCCAAACCTGGCTCACACATGGGAGGGGGCTTCAGGTGCTCCTGGCGCGGGGCTGCCCAGGGGGTGGGAAGGCAAAGTCCCCCCGAGGCGGCGGTGAGGCGGGAGCAGGCTGCCAGAATCACGGCTGTCCCGGCGCTTTTTTGGCTTTTCCACCTTTGGGGGCGGGACTGGATCCGGTGGGGAAGGCCGGGGAGGGAGGGGATGCAGAGAGGAGGACGCGCTCTATCCAGGGTACACGTGTCTGCTGCGTGATGCCCGCCTGGCTCTGCAGGCTGGCACCCGCACGGGGGTACCGAAACACCGTGGCTAATGCCAACACACACGCACAGCTACCGCTACACACCGACACATCTACACTGCTGATGGTTGACCATCGCGGGGGGCCTCGAGGGGTCCCCAGGGACTGGGCTGGGGGACATGAAGCATCCCTGCAAAGGGCCCAGGGACACACCTCTCCCTGCGCTGCAGTGCCGATCCCCACGGCTGAGCCAGGGCCACCAGCAGCTCCAGCAGCAGGGCCAGGCACCTACTCCGAGGCACCCCCAGGGGATGCCAGGACAAGGGAGGGGGATGTCCTTCCCTTGGCTACGGCTCAGTCCAGCCTGACAGCAAGGGGCAGGCACGGGGTAGCCTGTGACTGGGGGAACCGGCAGCCCCAAAACAGGGAGGCAGAGCCTCAAGCAGCGGGTGCTCTGCTGCTGCCAGCACCCCACTGGCAGGGAAGGATCAGAGGGGCCACAAATCCAGAGTCCCTGGGGAGTGGGGGTCATGGGGGACTGCAGGGGCTGCTTCAAGCAGCGGTTGCTGCCGAGCCCAGTACAGCTCTTGCAGACGCTGCCAGCCCAGGCCATGACCACATCCCCAGGGATGTGTGGGGTCCCCACCCAGCACAGCTGTACCAGAGCGCAGCCCCTGCCCCCCCAAGCAGAGCCTGCGGCAGCTGCCGAGCCAGCATTGCAGCCACGTGCTCCTGGCAGTGGGAGGAGGCGGCTGTCGCAGGAAGGAGCCATTAGGAAAAGCAAAGAAAATCCCAGCTGGAGGAGCCGCTGCAGCAGCATCTTCCCTGCCAGCGCGTCCCTGCTCTTGGCAAAGCCGGCAGCGGAGCCCAGTGTGGTGCTGTGTGGAGGAGCCCTGTGCCAGAGCATCACCCACACCCCACACGCCCACCAGCACTGGCTGCAGCTGCTCTTGGAGCAGTTTGGGTGGTTGTTTAAGATAGATTTGCCACAGCTGTCCTTCGCTGCCAGCCCTGCCTTTCCATGCTGCTCCCTGCCATCCCGGCAGCAGCACACGCCACGGCCGGGCACAGTGACACCCAGCTCCACTGGCCAAGGTCAGCCAGCCCTCAGCAGGTCCTGCACAGGCACAGGCCCCAAGGTTAAAATGAGGGCTGGCTACTTAGTGAAGGGCTGGTCCCCATACAATGTTGGGGTGACTCCGGACAGGGGCTCCCTCCGTGGCACAGCTTTCCCTGCACAACTGCCTGGCGAGAGAAACAACCCAGCCTCCGCGCCCACGTGCTTACCACGTGTGTGCAACTCCGCTCTTCCCAAAGCCAGTGGCGGGGAACACGCGCCACGGGGAAGGAGACGCTGCTGTGGGACACTGAACCCCCGAGCCAGGCACCCCTCACTAAACAGGGAGTTGGGAAGGGACAGTCTGGCATGGCTCGGCATCCCTCCCCAAGGGCTGCGAAGAGGAAGAGGAGAAAATTGAAGCCATGCGTTCAATGCAGTCAAAAACCAAACGGAATCAGCCATTCTCCGAGGGATGGGGAAGGTGGGGTGGGCACCGAGAGCTGGGGTGGCATGGATGCTCCTGCTTCCTGGAGAGTGGGAGGGCACGCGGCGCTGGCACAGATGGGAGCGGCCGGGAGCAGCCATGGCTGTCAGTGCCGGGGCCATGGGGGAAAGCAGCCGGGTGTGACAATGAAAACCCGATGAGATGCATTTCACGGGCAAATAACCGCAGCGGGCGGCCATGCGTCCTGCGGGCACGAAGCGAGAGCCGGACAGACAGACGGATGGAGAATGGGTGTGTGCCAGGGGGTGTGGGGAGCAGGGGCTCTGCCTTCCAGCAGCTTCAAGGCAAAATACCTGATTCCTGCATGTAAACAGCTGGTTTCGGTTTGTTTGTTTGTTTTCCTGGGTTGTTTTTTGATATGACCTGATTGTGGGTGAAAATAAAAATGAGTGTTACCTGCAGAGCGTGGGACTCAGTAGGTAAAGACCAAGTCTGAGATGCTGGACATGAGCCAGTCCCCCGCTATCATCTCCGTCACCTCGGGCGTGCAATAGTCCGGGAACTCGAAGTGCGAGGAGCCTCCCCGCGGGTAGAGGTCGTGGTCCTTGTCGAAGACGGACCAGTCCAGGGCACCACAGGTGGCACTGGCAGGTGCCCGCCCGGGCATGATCCCCAGCAGCTCCTCCTCCAGCTCCTCGTCAGAGGAGCTGAAGGAAGAGGGAGGGGACCCGGCCGACATGGGAGAGGGGGAGCCGCTCTCTGGGGACCTCCCTGGCTCCGGGCAGGGTGTGGTAGGGCTCAGGGGTGCAGGGGGCTCCTGGGGGCTGCTCTCCCCGTTGGATGCCGGGTTCCAGGCAGCCGTGCCAGGCACCACAGGGCTGTCCTCAGCGGGCACCTCTGGTGCGGGCTCCTGCGGGGTGTCGGGGCCGGTGGGCAGCTTGGCGGGCTGCCTGCGGCTGGCAGAGACACGGCCCAACACGGAGGGCTTGATCTTCACTGGGAGCCGCGGGCGGGCTGCTCCGGTGCCCACCTTGCCCTTTTTCCGAGGCCGGTACTTGTAGTCGGGGTAGTCAGCCATGTGCTTGAGGCGCAGGCGCTCGGCCTCCCTGACAAAGGGGATCTTCTCGGAGTCGTGCAGGAGCTGCCAGCGCCGGCCCAGGCGCTTGGAGATCTCGGCGTTGTGCATGTCGGGCCACTGGTCCATGATCTTGCGGCGTTCGTGCTGGGACCACACCATGAAGGCGTTCATGGGCCGCTTGATGTGCCCGCTCGGCGTCTTGCACCAGGCGGGCTCGGTGTCACGGGCGGGCAGCGGGGCGCAGGGCTCCCGCCGAGCCTCCGCGCCCCGGCCCCGCGGGCCGCGCTGCACCATCCCGGAGCCGGCTATCCCGCCGCCGCCTCCGCCTCTTCCTCCTCCCCTCCCGCCGTCGCCTCCCTGCCCGCCGCCGCCTCCCCGCCCGCCGCTACGCGCCGCGCCGCGCCGCCCCCATTGTGCGGAGCGGGCGGCGGCGGGGCGGGGCGCAGGCGGCCGCGACGGGGCCCGGGGGCGCACGGCGGAGCCGGCTCCGCCGGGGCGGCGGCCGCGGAGATGCTCCGGAAGGGCCCCGGGGTGGCCCGGTGGTCTCCGGCTCGGGGATGCTTTCAAGCGGTCCTGTCCCGGAATGTTCTACACCGGTCCGAGGATGCTCCGGAATGCTCTGCAGGACCTCGAGGATGCTCGGTGCCGGTCTGAGGATGCTTTGTAGCACCTCGAAGATGCTCGGTGCCGGTCTGAGGATGCTCCGGGATGCTCTGTAGCACCTCGAGGATGCTCGGTACCGGTCTGAGGATGCTCCGGGATGCTCTGTACCGTCTCGGGGATGCTCCACACCAACCCGGGGATGTTCGGCGTCGGCTCGAGGATGTTCCAGGATGCTCTGTAGAGGCTCGGGGATGCTGCACGCCGTGAGGGCTCCGCCCCGGGGTTGCTCCGCTCCCCGCCGCCCCGGTGATGCCTCCCCGGTTAAGTCGGCAGAAGCTTCGGTCGGGAATGATGTAGGGTGGTTGCGGCGAGTCGAGGTGCGGGTCGGGGGTGCGCGGGGGCGGTGCGGGCAGCCCGGGAGCCGCACGCCCCCCGGTGCCGCTCTTATAGACACCGGCGCCCCGCCCCCGCCGCCCCCGGTAAACACCGCCGCGCCGGGTCTGTCAATGGACGGCCCCGCCCCCCGCCGCCCATTGGCCGCGGCGCGGGGGGGCAGATCCCGCTCAGCCAATGGGCGCCCGCCGTGAGGGGTTGCTGGAGAGAATGGCAGCGCGGCACGCCCCGGTACCCCCGGTACCGCCCGGCTACCCGGCACGCCCCGCTACCCCGGTACTCCCCGGTTCCCCCCCCGCTACACACGGCACGCCCCGCTACCCCCTGGTAACCCGCCACACCGATGCCCCCGATACCGCTGCCACGACAACCTGTACCCCGGCACGAGCAGCACAGAACCCCCGGTGACACCCGGTACCTTCAGACAAGCATCCCGGTACGCCGGTACCTCTCTGTGCTCTCAGGCACCCACCCGAGGATGCTCCAGCCCCTGCCAGTAACCCGCTGCTCCCCCGGTTTAGGCACCCCGGTGTCCCCGATGACCCTGACATCCGCACCCTCGGGAGCACCCACACCCCTCGCGGTTCGCCGGGAGCCTGTGCACGGCTCTGACCGGCCGGAACACCGAGTATCACCCCACAATGCTGTGCTTGAACCCTGCCCTGCCGGCCCACCGGGCTCCCAGGACACCCACTGCTCCCGGTCATGCGGGATCAGTCCCCGGGCCGCTCACTAGGGCGCCCCGCGTTGTGGGAACACCGACGCCTTCGTGGACATATCCCTGCCACCCATTCCAGCGGCGTCTCCCCGTGGGTCGGCCCCCGGCGGGGACGGGAGCGCCGGGCGGGGAACGCGCAGCCCACGAGGCGGACACGCGGCTCCCCGGTGCCGCGGGTGGGGCCACGCCCCTCCCGGTCAGGCCCCGCCCCCTCCGCCGGGCGGCACCAATGGGGCAGCGGCGGCGGCGCTGTTGTCCCGGAGACCGCGGGCTGCCCGCCGGGGGCCGCGCCCATTGGCTGCCGCTGCCGCGCGCGGGCCCGCCGGGGGCCGCGCCCATTGGCTGCGCCGCCGCCGCCAGTTGCTGTGGTGACAGGGGAGCGCGCGGGGCCGCGCCCGACCCGACCAGGCACCGCCGCTCACCGGGCACCGCCGCTCACCGGGCACCGCCGCTCACCGGGCACCGCGGGCTGTCGCCGTCCTGTGGCCTTTCCCGACCCTGCCGGGTGCCCCGACATTGCGGCCAGCCGAGACACCGGGGCCTGCCCTCCCGCCGGCCCGGGCCGCAGCCCCGGGCGCTGCCCTCGCCGTCCCGGAGCCGCGCCGCGCGGGGAGCACCACACGGTTCTCCACCGCGGCTTTGCGCTTTGCCTGCGGGCGGCACCTCCCCGAGCTGTTCCCGCTCGGTACAGCCGGAGGGCACGCCCGGCACGGGTCACCCGCATGGCCCTGGCTCGGAGCACCTGCTCGGCCGCTCCCACACACCTCCGGTCTTCGCTGCCGCCACGCCGGCAGGACCGGCTGCGTGCGCACTAACACGGAACGCCCGTGCCGTCGAGCAGCTCTGCTGGGCCGGAGGCGGCTCCCCATGCCCGTTGGTTTCGTGCACCGGGCCCGTCTCTACCCAGGTTCCCTGTGACAGCCGTTCCTCTGCTCCCTCCCGGCCCCGGCCGCCCCTCAAGCAGCCCGGGGCCGGTCCCGCCGGGCAGCTCGGGCTGCCACAGCTAATTCCAATCCCGCAGACCGCGCCCGGTGCATCCCGTGCCGGTGATCCCGTCCCGGTGCGGTGCCGGGGCGGGGCCGGCAGGGGGCGTCCCTTCCGCCCGTTCCCGTGAGCTCGGGCCCCGCCCGGCCGCTGTCGCCGCGGGGACCGGCTCGGGTTACGGGGGACACGGGCATCCCCAGAGACCTCAGCGAAAAGGGGTTCCCGGATGGCGGTAGGGCCCGGGCGTCCCCGGACAGAAAGGATGGTGAGGATCCATGGGATGTGGGGTGTCCCAGGAGGCACAGAAGCTGCCAAATGGACAAAAGAGCGAGCCGGGAGGGGTTCCCCGTAGACCAGCAGCGGTATCACCCCTGCAACAGCCTACTAAATCCATTCCTCCATACTGCCTCCGGCTCCAGCTGGCTGCCGGAACACCACTCTGCTTCGCAGAGCCATTCCTGTGTGGAGCGGCACCAGGCACGGTGACACATTCCTCTGTGCTGCCAGGGCAAGCAGCAGTGCCTGAGGGTAAGGTCAGGGTTGGTGCAAGGGGACATTTCCCAGCTCTGAGGAATCAGCAGTAATTGTATTTCTCCCTCTGCAGAGGATGAAGGCAGTGGTACAGACCTGCTGTCAGAACCGGCTGGACACAGTGAGGGCAGAACTCCAGGAAATAGAAAAAAACAATGGAAAATAATCTGGGAAGCTAGTTGCTCACATCACTCTGAAATGAGTCTATACAGTCATGTTACCTTTGCTTTCCATCCTCGGCTAAAGACATTGTGTTGATCTTATAAATGTCAAACAATTCCCTTTCTGAGAATGAATCCCATTTGCTCTGTGGGGATGATCTTCCCATCAGCCTGCCAGGAGGGAGAGAGCCCTGTGACACACAGCAACCTGTGCTCAGGGGGGTCTGTTCATGGGATCATTCCTTCCTGGTCTATCCCAGCTCCTGTCCCCCGGGTGCACACAGGGCTTATTTTCCATGGAAATACCACCCTGTTGGGCAGACACCCCACAGAGCAGCAGTGGTGTGGGTGTCAAGGGGGGATCTCCTGTACCAGGGTCTGGGTTTTAGCTGGAAGACAGGTATGGCTGTAGCTATGGAGGCACAAGCTGAAGGAGAAAAGCCTGGAACATGTCAGGAGGCAGGAGGCGAGTGGCTGCGTGATAGATTAGTGGAACTTAATTTTTTTTCTGTTTAAAAAAAAATGATAAGAAAGGGGAATTAATTAGCCTCAGCAGCTGGTGGGGCTGGGGTTACTGAGGGTGGATGGGAGAAGAGTTAAAAATAGCAGGAAGGCCCAAATGGAAAGTTTCTGTAACATCACAAGTCAGGCATTTGGTGCTTACCCGCCCTGACAGGCGGGAGCCTGTGCCAGAGCCCTCTCCACCATCCTCAGCCCTTTCCCACTGACCTCCCTGCAACTTTTCACACGACATCACCAGCCCTTCGTTTTGCTAATTAACCCTTTGCTTCCAGACACTGGGTTTGCATCTTGAAAGAGCAAAATCAGCCACAAGTTGCTCATCCTGGGAACGTGAGGGTGCCGAGGAGCACAGTGCTCATGCTGGCCCTCCCTGGGTCCCTGCATGTCGCTGGCAGCGTGTGGAGCCCAGAAGAGCTGTAACCCCCCTGTATTCATTCCCATCTGCATTTCAGCTTCCCCTCCTTAAAAATCTTCCAGTTTCCAGAGGCCCTGGGTGGATTTCACTGGTAGGTCTGAGCCCTATGCTGGGACACTCTGGATGCACAGTTTGTCCTCAGCTGAGACGGAGATGGATGAGGCAGCTCTGAGCAAGCCCAGCTTGCTGCACTTGTCCCCACTGCGAGAAAGCAGATGTACCTGGCTGCTCCAGCGGGCTTTCTCTGCTTCTGTTTGTCTTTCAGGATTGACAATAAGAGCAGCTGAATTCATTCCTTCCCCCTCTCAGAGGCCCAGGAGTTGTGTCTGGCTCTGCTGCTCTGGGAAGGCTGGCAAGAGCTGAGTCTGCCATACAAAGGGTGGTCTGAGGGTGGTGGAGCAGGGCTTGAGCTGGAACAGATTTTGGTGGTTGGCAGAGTGGTCAGTGACTGTGGCAGACCATGAGGCATGAGAAAATACTGCTGGATTGACTGGGGGTCAGGTTTGGTGCTGGTTTACACTAAACAGGAGTTGGGCACTACCCTCACCTGGTTTAAAAGGGTTTCCCTCTTCCCCTAGCTGCTTGCATGGTCCTGCATCCCAGAACAAGCATTTAGGGTGACCCCACTGAAAGCCAGTGCAGGACCCTGGGGACATAGAGAGGGTGGCGCAGCTGACACAAGGCAGGCTTCCCTTTGGCCACATTGTGCCCCCTGATAACGGGACTGCCATGCAGGGAATGGGACACCTCTGAGCACAGTCCATCTGAGCAGTCACCCTGCTCCTGCTTCTGCTCCTCATACCCAAACAGCCAAAGCACAGTGCCTTATTCCCTCTGTGCTTTGCTCCTCCTAACTCTCCTCTTTCTCTGGTATGTGCTGGGTACCAAGGTGGTCCTCAGCATTCCCACCAAGGAGGAACACTTGTCTGATGCCAGCCCCTTGCCCAGAGCCTGGAGTAGCCAGGCTTGGATGAGGTGCAAAGATGACTCCATTGCCTTCAGCCCTTCTTCCTCCCAGTCCTGCTCAGCACCTTGGGCATTTGCAGATGTGGTTTTATGGCACAATAAAATTGTTACTGTGGTTCCTGCCCTCCCCATCGCTGTGCTCTGATCATGAGGGATGTCCTGGGACCGGCCCTGGTGCCATGAGGCTTTGCCAATATATCCCAGTGTGGTTGGACTGGTGACCCAGTGTAGGGTCAGAACAGTGCCCGCAATGGGACACTTTGGGACAATGCTGCCGGTGTCCGAGATCCACAGACAGGATCAAATAAAAACAGCTCCTGCTATTGCCCATGCCAGGAGACCCTCAGCCTTGTATTCAACCACTGCGTCTTGGAGATAGAGCTGCACAGCCGGGCTCTGGGCTTCTGAGTCCTGAAAAAGCACATCTCCCCCTGGGCAGGGCAGGACCGGACCGGGCTCGGCTCGCTTCCTTGGCGGAGCTGAGCCTGGGGTGGCGAGACCAGGGCCGGGAATTGGGTTGATGCAGCTCCACGTAGAGCCGGAGTGTGGTGGAGCCCCCGCCCGCGGAGGCGCATCCCGCAGCATCCCATGTAACCCTTGCTCCCCATGACCGGGGTACGGGTCCCGGGGGAATTCGCCGTTCCTCGGCACCGCAAACCCCGAGGGGACCTCGGGGACCGGGCCAGGGCGGCTGGGCCGGACCGAGGGCAGTGCGGGCGGGGGTGTGTCCGGCGGGGGAGGGATCGGAGCGGCGAGGGGCTCCACCTCCTGAGGCTTAAAGCTCGGGGCGGACGGCGGTGCGGGTGTCCCGGGAAAGTTGTGCCCGTGTTGCCATCGGCTCGGAGCGGGAGCGGCTCCAGGAGCGGTCGGGGCTGCCGGGTGCGGGTGCCCTTGGGGGCGACACTCGCTCCCCGCCCACCCTGCGGCCCCTGCCCTCGGTGCTGGTGATGACCCTGAACACGCAGCCCGGGAGCCGGAGCCCGCTGCGGCGGAGGGCCAGCACCCCGCTCCCGCGGCCGGGTGGCTCCGGGGCCACTTCGCGGGGTGAGTCCTATCACCCCCAGCTCGGCCACACCGCCTCCGAGCCGGGCGGCAGAGCCCCCCGCGGCACCTGGTCCCCCGACTCCTCGGGCTCCCCAAGGCTCAGGGAGCCCCGGTACCGAGTGGTGCTGCTGGGTGACCCCGGCGTGGGGAAGACCAGCCTGGTCAACCTCTTCGCCGGCGTCCAGGAGAGGGACCTGCTGGACCAGCACGGAGGTGGGTGTCTGGTGGGGGGGATCTGGTCACCTGTGGGGCATCCCGTGGCCCCACGATGGGACAAACCCATGTGCGAGGCGGAGAGGAGCCCGGGACCGTGCTGGGAAGTGCGGCACTGACCGAGTTCTCCCGGTGTCCCGCAGGGGCCGCGTACGAGCGCAGGCTGACCGTGGATGGGGAGGAGACCGCGCTGCTGGTGCTGGACACCTGGGAGTCAGAGCAGCGGGTACGGCGGGGCTGGGTGTCCGAGAGAGCCAGGATGTGCCCCAGGATGTGCCATGGGGACATTGTATGGGCACAAGTGCTGTCTTGGGACCTCTGAGCGCTTTGAAGGGCAACTTGGCCCCCCCCCCCCCCCCCCGTCCATTTCTGGGGCTCACCACCTTGGAGCACAGGATACATGCTGGGCAAGACGGGGGTCACATCTCTGCATCCACCCTCCTGGGGCATGGGAGGCTGCCCGGCGTGTTCTCACTGGTGCACGTTCTTATATGATAACCCACTTCAAAATGCCTGGAAATGGTTTGGGAATGGGGCTGAAAGGTCTAACTGGGTAAATCCACAAGTTGGTATTGCCAGCCAAAACACTTTAACGGGCAGAACGGTGCTCCCAAGAGCCTGGCATAGGGCATTCCTCATGCCTAGATCATGAGGTATCTCCTGGGCAGAAATACCAGTGCTGTTGTTGCTGCCTCCCTCCAAACGCCTCCCTCCTTCCCTTCCTGCCAGGGCCCTGCATTCCTGTAGGTGCCACCAGGCAGTGAGTCCCCGGGAGTGGGGACAGAGTCAGTGCCCCAGCTGTGGACAGGGGTGCAGCACCTATATGGACTGAGCTGTGTTTGGCACTCACTGCCCAGAGGTGCTCCAGCACTGTGACACCTCAACAAATGGCTCCTTTTTTCCCACTATGGCTTATTCCCACACTGGCCAGCAGTGCCTGGATCATGCAGGGTGCAGCACCCACCACACTGTCCCAGGCCATTCCCAGGGGATTCAGCCTCACCTCCCCCCACCAAGCAGAGCCCACAGCCCCAGTTTGTGGTTGATAGAGAGGAAAACACCCAAACACTCCCCTCAAAATCAAGAGCTTTTAATCTGCATTTAATGAATAGGGTAACACATCTGTTCACCACGGTGTGGGGGCTGGTGAGGTGTGCTGACAGTTCCCATCAGTGCCAGGGTGCTCTGCTGTCCCCTGGAAATGGTCATGGCCACGGATTGGTGACATCTTATTCCTCATGTGGTGACAGGGTGAGGAGAGCCAGCGCCGCAGCCACTGCTTGCACGTAGGGAATGCGTACATCATCGTTTACTCTGTCACTGACCGGGACAGCTTCGAGAGCGCCTCAGAGCTGCGCATCCAACTGCGCCGTGCGCGCCAGGCTGAGGACATCCCCATCATCCTGGTGGGGAACAAAACCGACCTGGTGCGGTGCCGTGAGGTGTCCGAGGAAGGTGAGTAGGGGGTGAAGGTTCTGCCTGGTGGAGACCCCTGAGAGGGCTCCGTGCCCAGCGGCTTCCCACACATCTGTCCCCTCATCCCCGGACGTGCAGCTGCTGTTGTGCATGTGGCAGTGCCCGTCCCACAGCACTTGAGGTGCCAGCGGGGCCATGCCCCCTCCCTGCCCTTCCCTTGCAGAGGGCCAGGCCTGCGCCGCTGTCTTCGACTGCAAGTTCATTGAGACGTCGGCGGTTCTGCAGCACAACGTGGCCGAGCTCTTCGAGGGGGTGGTGCGGCAGATCCGCCTGCGCCAAGGGGGCAGAAAGCCCCACCTGCACCCCACGCCTGGCCAGAAGCACAAGGAGAGCCTCGCCAGCAGAGCCCGGCACTTCCTCGACAGGCTGGTGGCCAGGAACAGCAGCAAAGTGGCCCTCAAAGTCCGTTCCAAGTCCTGCCATGACCTGTCTGTGCTCTGAGAGCCACGGTCCTGTCCCTCCACACACGCCGGCTGGGACTCTGCTCTGGGCCAGCAGTGTGGCCAGCGGCTCTGTGAAGAGCTCAGACAGGGCTGGAGTGATGCTGAGGATGTGGAGCTGTTTTCACTGGTGCTGAGGGATGTGAAGGTGCTCTGGATCCGGCCACTCCCCTCCAGGAGAGGGGATAAGTGGGATCAGGTCCGTGGAGTGGAGGATGGGATGGGTACCTGCACTTGGGGTGGTGAGATTTTGGATCACAGCTGCTCCTGCAGAGCCAGAGGTGAGGGGTGGCTGTGCCCCAGAGCAGGGCTGGAGGCTACCAGGAGTGTGGCAGGTCCCACTTGCAGTGCTGTCCTTTACAGGGCAGCAGGGACTGGCAAGGGCACAGTGGCATTGTCCACCTTGGACAGCGTGGAGCTTGGCTGGGAAGAGGGGGCAGGGGAGCACCAGCGGCATCACCTGGCACTCTGACCCTGCTGTGCCAGGGCTTTGTGCCATGTCTCACTGGCACCAGTGTTTCTGTGCTCTCGCTGTACTGGTGTGCTGGGGAAACCCTTGATCTGCAGAATAAACCACATCAGGGAGGTGCTGTTCTCTGCTGGGTCCCTGCCCTGGGGAGCCACATCCCAGAGCCACATGGTCAGATTGAAGCTCTGCTCCTTGCCTATGGCCGGGGCTGAGGATCTGCTTCCTGCTCTGGCCAGGCTCCTCCATTAGCTGGAGTATCTTGGGGCAGGGAGAGCCCAGAGCTTCCTTTGGCCACCCTTGCTGGAGGTCCCAGTTCTTCACCCAGAGGCCCAGCATTGTCCCCTGTGAAGTCCCCTGCATTTCAGAGCTCTGGAAAAGCCTGTGGGAAGGGCTGAGCTCTGCTGAGCAGCAGGTTTAGAGCCCCTGAGCACTGGGAGCTGCAGCCTGGGCAGGGAGCTGGGCACTTGGTGGCTCCTGGTGCCCCGGGAAGGGGCAGGGAGCAGGAGCCGAGCAGAATGGCCCAGCCAGGAAGGGACGTGCTTGGCTGCAGCAAGCAGGGAGTGACCCTGGGCACCCAGGGAGGCAATGCTGGAGCTGTTGTGGGCTTTGCCTGTTGTTTTTAGGCTGTGCTGCCATCCAGCAGCTGGGATACCACCGGGGAACCTGCTCAACATCCCGGCCCGATGCCAGGGAGGATCAGTGGTGCCCTCCTACTCGGGTTGGGAATTTCCACTCGCTCTGCGGTCAGACCGTGGGGAACCACCGGCTGTGGCTGGCACAAATGGGACGCTGGGATGGGCCAGCACCCTGTCCCTATGGCAAACTAGTCTCTCCAGAGGTGCAAATCCCAAGTTTTGACCTCAGAAATGGGGAGGTGGGTGCTCAGATTTTTTTCCATGCTGCTTAACCTATGGCATTGCTGCTGCTCTGCTCCTACTGCCCTGTCCTGGAGCTCCCAGCCCGCCGATTCCTGGTGCTGCTGGAGGTGATGCTGTGGCTCACAGAGCCGAGGTTGGGGGCTGCACCCCAGGGACAGGGGCTCCTTGCTGCTGCCGGTCCCTCCCGCAGCTGCAGCTGGTGTTTCCCTGCGGCCGAGGCGGGGGAGGGGGGCCATGGGATGGAAAGTTGGCAGTCAGCAGAGAGGGGAGTGGAAAGAATGAGCTCAAACCCAGAAAAATGCGGCCGTGCTGGAGGATGGGAGGAGTGGGAGGAGAGGCCAAGGGGGGCCACGGTGAGGCGCTGGGAAACGGAGAGAAGGTGGAAGGAGGGGGGAGGATGGAAGGAGGAGGTGCTGGCAGGGGACCAGGGACTGCCTGTGGTCCCCATCTGGGCCCGCTCCTGAGGAAGGTGGCGCCAGGTCTCGGTGGTACCAGCGAGTGCTCTCGGGGCTATCCCAGTGCTGTCAGCATCTGGGTGGCCACTGGCTCCAGTGCTATCCATCCCTGGGTGGTCACCAGCCCTAGTACACTTCCCCCTGTCCCTGTCCCGGTGCCCACCACCCTGCTGGCTCCTCGCTGGCATGTGGCCACCCTGGGCCAGCAGCCCCCGACTCCCCATCTCGCTCTGCGCAGCGATGCTGCCCTTTGTGAGGATTCCCAAGCCTGGCATTCAGAAGGGGGCAGTGAGAGGGTCAGGAGCTGTGCTGTGCCAGGGTGGGATGCAGGGGGGTGTGTGGGCACACTGCCTTCTGCTGCCCGTCTTGCTCCGCTCTGGGAACTGCAGTCGCAGGGAGAGGGCAGCATCCCGGGCACGAGGCCAACCCCGCAGAGAGGGGCTCCCAGGAGGCCTTCCCATCTGCCCTCCGCCTGAAACACGGAACTATGAATCACCCCGCTCCTGAAATAGATTCCTTTTATTTAAAATATAAAATTTAAAAGACATAAAAAAAAAAAAAAAAAAAAAAAGACTTGTGTTTTAATCCCTGCTGTGCTCCCATCTCCTTGCCCATGGCTCAGATCTAAACTGGGGGCAGCACCATTTCACTGTGCTCAAATCTTCACCAATTTTTGCTCCTCAGCAGACTTTCAACCTGGTGAGGAGGAGGAGAAGGCTGGGTGGCACAGCCGAGCTGCCAGTGACTTGGGAGTGTTTGTGAAGAAAACACACATTTCGGCCAATTTTCCAGCAGAGCCTGGTCCCAGTCCAGCGCGTGGGGAGAATCTGCTGCCATTTATAAGGCATTTTACAGAAGCGCAGTTTGCTCAGGCTGGGCTGGGAGCAGTCAGGGGGATTCCCAAGAACAGGGCTGCAGTTCTCGGAAAACGGTGAAGGGCGGGAACACCCCGGGCAGCCCAGGAGCTGCTGGAGCTGGAGCTGCACCTCCCCGCTCACGGGGGGGCTGCGGGAAACCGGCAGCGGTACCGGCAGGGAGCTCCTCGGGAGTTCCTGCGCCTCCCACAGCGAGGGGCGGGCGCGGCTCCATCCCGGAGCGGCGGCGCCGCCGCGCTCTGCCCTTCTCCTGGCACCGGGGCCGCCGGGGCGGGGCCGGCTTCAGCGCCGCTACGCGTGACGCACTTCCGGTCGGTAAGGGGGACGTGTCGGTGCGGACCGCGGTGGGAGCAGCCGCCATGGAGGAGCCCGCGGCGCACAACGGCAGCGCCGCCGGGGCCGCGCCCGGGGCCGGGACCCCCGCCCGCCCGCCCGCCACCCCCGAGGGCATGGCGCTGGCCTACGGCAGCCTCGTCCTCATGGCGCTGCTGCCCATCTTCTTCGGGGCGCTGCGCTCCGTCAGCTGCGCCAAGAGCAAGGTACCCCCGCGGCTCGGGGCAGCCGGGCCTGTAGGCCGAGCCCCCCCTCCCGAGGGTCCCCTCCGGGCGCCCCGTTCCACGGGAGGACCGGCAGCTGCATGGCCCCGGCCCTGGGCCTGGAGGCGCAGGGGACCCCGGGGAGAGAGTTGGCTTCCCTCGGGGCTCCTCCAGCCGCGATAAATTCAAGTGCTGCAAAACACAGCCGTCCCTTGTCCCTCCTCAGGAGGAGCTGTGCTGGGGGGACTCGTGTGTGGCTGTGCCCCGCGGCACCGGGGCTGGTCCGGGGGTGCTCTCCCGCCTGCACACCCTGTTCTGTCCCGGTATTCTCCCAGCGTTCTCTGCATTTCATAGCAGGGACTTAAATCCCAACAGTTGGGCTGCTGTAGCTCAGGAGGAAGGACTGTTTTACACAGTCTGATCTAATACTATTTTTAAAATCTCCTTTTGTGCTCTTAAGCCTCATATCAGGGGCTTCTGGCAGCTCAGGCAGTGGGGGGCTGTGAGCAAAGCCCAGCAGCGATTCAGGATGGGGGCTCTCATCCCTCACTCCGCAGGGAGCAGCAGGAATTTGAACACCTCTGTGCTGCCGGGTGCAGTGTGACAACTGCCGTGCCCAGGATAAGCTGCACAAGGGCTTTTGAGGTGCCCTCGATCTGTGCTGGCCGCAGGTGTTTGCCTGAGAGAGATTAGATCTCTGAGCAGTGGCCAGCTGGACCTGGAGCAGGCAGGGAACATGCAGAAAACAGGCAACCCTCTGCCTCCTCTGAAAACTGAAGGTCTCCCATGGGAAGTGGCTTGAAAGGGGCTGGTTGAGGTGGTGCAAAGATGTCTTGGAAGGGGTTTATAAATCTGGGGCTTTTGAGCATGAGAAGTGTCCCAAGAGCAAGGTGAGAGATGAGGAGGTGGCTGGAGAGACGTGTCATGCACGGGGTGATCACAGATGGTGGCACAGATGGGGCTGGCTGGGCGTGAGCGGTGAGGGAGCCCAGCTCCCCTCTGGGCAGGGGGAAACGGAACAGTGCCAGCACAGGATTTTTTCCTTCTCCAGGGGGGGAAAAGCAGTAAATTGTGGCTGCCCTGGAAAGGACAAGTGTTTGTGTTTTGCAGCTCAGGCTCTGCCTCTGACACAGCCTCATCTCCGGGTATAGCAGGGGCCAGTGGGTGTTTTGTCCCTCTCAAAATCACTGTGGAGCGTTGTGTGCTGTGTCTGTCCACCCCCTGCTCAGGTGTGAAGGCAGGGCAGGGGCTGATCCATTCCTTTCTGTCCTTCTCTCCCAGAACTCCTCGGAGATGCCAGAGACGATTACCAGCCGAGATGCTGCTCGCTTTCCCATTGTTGCCAGTTGCACCCTCCTGGGGCTCTACCTCTTCTTTAAAGTAAGTGAGTGGCTCTGGAGCTGGGGCAGGACATTTCCCACCTGGCAGGAGCTCCCATAATGGAGTGACTCTGTTTTTGGCCCTTAGTGGTTTGACAGAAGGTGTGTAAGGCTGCACAGATCGGGCTCTTTCGGTGTCACCGTGCAGGAGGACGTCAGTTCTTGCCTGAATTGTCCCAGCTTGGGGGAAATCAGAGCCTGTTTGTGCACAGGTTGTTTCTGGAGAGCTGCTGAGGAGCAAATAGCCCTGAGCTCTTCCTGTCTCCATGGGCCAGCCTGACACATAGGCTGGAGCCAGGGGGTGCCAGGGTCTCTGAGGGGCAGATGCTGCTGGCTCTGTGTTGTGTTCCATTCTGTGCCCCTGGAGCCATTTTGGCTACAGGCCTGGGGGAGCCCTGGTGTCATCAGGTGAAATCTTTTAGATGTTCAGAGCCCACAGGCAGAGTCAGATGACCTGAGAAATGGATGGGTGCTCTCAGCAGCACGTGGTGGTGGTGTGGAGGTGTCTTGGCATCAAGCTCCTTGGGCTGCCCATGCAGGTCTGGCACATGGCTGAGCTCCCAGAAGGGTCTGGGGAGCTGCAGCACAGAGTGGCCCTGTGGGCATGGCAGCTTCCAGTTGTGCTGTTTAGAGATCCCTGCAAGGTGCCAGGGTGAGGGTTAAGGTGCAGAGTTGGGAATGGTACAGTTCAGTCCCTTCTCTGCCAATGGCTGTGTGCCATGTGCTTGCCTATTCCAGCATCCCCTTCCAGGAGGGCACAGAGGGCCCCAGGGTCCTTCCACACTGGTTTGTAGGGGTGTGATTCAGTAGGGGAGTGTGTGACTTGGAGGGCAGGAGTTTTAGTAATGCCCTGTTTAATTAGGGCAGGGGATGCTGCTGCTCCTCTGGGCCTGGGCAGCCCCTGGGAGCAGTGCCTCTCTCCTTGCTCTGCCGGGGAAGCTCTGGCCTCCTTTCTGCAGCACTGGAGTTATTTTTTGACCTGAGCAGCTCACA